GTTGCGCTGAATGGCTGAAGACTTGATTCTTAAAAATATTGAAGAAGGGCACAAGATTGCAAGAACATAAATTGGGAGTAAGGGAATCTTGAAGGGGAACAATACCATAAATGCAAATCCCTGAAATGCCATTTTAATCACAAAGAGTGATATACAGCATGCGATTTGGCAAACTATTGCAACAAGAAAATTTCACATAGAGTCTTCATATCTTGTTAAATGAACAGTGCAGGATTGCCACCGAATCTACCAGAACCCTGTCATAGATTTTCTTAAACAATTCCCAGCAAACAATGAGATTTTCATGACCAAAGAGCATTTCAGAAGTATTTTTGACTGGTTGAAGTTTGAGAAAATTGAATATATTTCATGCTCAACTCAGGAAAAGCCAGAGAGTGGTTTTGGTTTCTCCCAAAGCTTCAAGTTCAAAAAAATCTCTCAGACCTTAAAAGAAATACTGGGGCAAGGTTGTCCACAAGTTCCATTTAAAAAAAAAAACGGAAACATTCTTGTGTGTATTCAGAGAAGGGCGGCGGGAGTCAGCGTGAAGGCGGTTAGGTCATTAACACTAGGAATTTCGGTCGATTTTCGCCGCTTCTTGGCGTCGCGCTAGCGCTCGTAACGGGCCGGTGAGACGCGCGCGAAACAGGGAGACACGGAGAGAGAGGAGCGAAGAAACGAAAGAAAGGAAGTATAATGAAAAAAGGGACAGCGGTGCGGCCCGCTGACGCGCCCAGGGTCGGTGACCGCCGCGCGCGGAACGGAAGACGCCGACCTGTTCAAACACGACTTGCCAGCAGCTCCGGCAACGCACACTCCCTCTCCGTGCAATGGGCGTATCAACTTGTCCCGTTCTGTGTTGTCTCTCTCTCTCTTCTACTCTCATTGCATCTCTTCTTCCGTGTCCTTTTTTTTCGTGCCTCTCCCTGTCGCTCAGGCTCATCCCGTATTTCTGTCTTTCACGCGATCCGGCGCGCCTTGACGAGCTAGCAACCGGGCGGCCGACTTGTCGGTTTCCGTTTTCCCATCTAGCCACAAGAGGCCGGGTTTGTGGGGAAACTATTCAACTTCATTTTCAGTGGTGCATCAGTTAATGGACTTGAGACGTTCTACTGGATACTGGAGTTACATTAAAAAAGTCTATTAGGCAATTTATGTGAAACCACATGGCATGGGGAATTTGGGGTCTGGGCACCCAACAATTTCTGGCAACGACGTTTTTTCAAGGTGAATGAAATGAGTGGTTCTTGGGAACTCCTGAAGCAAGTAATGTATATTTTTGAGTCACTGAGGTTGGTGAAAAACGAAACCTGAAAAAATAAGGATGTGAAGCACAAAAAATACTGCGAACAGGAAAGGAAATTAAAATATGCTGACAAACAAAATTTCAGCGGTGATTTCAAAATTTTGGACCGGTTCCCTTCTTTAGCTGTACAATAACCATTATAAAATATTCTTAGCAAATAATGGCGTGGCACTGGTACATAGGTTACCTTATAATTGTCATGTGAAGCTTCTTCATGAATTAAATTTTCTGCCTGAAGGTTGATTCCCTGTGTTCTGGGCATTTCAGAAATTCCATCTGTACGTCATGGTTGAAGTGACATAGTACTGTATTATCATATACTTTACTGTAAATGTTTCAACAATCACATTTTCTACACAAAAAATGAAACTCTTGACAAATGTTTTATCGTATGTAATGCAAGGTACTTCTCTCTTGAACTGATTTTTTTAATTGAAAAAATTAAAACATCAGCTATTGAAAAAAATTGAATCACGCCGCAATCGTCTCACTATTAGTCTCCGAGAGACAAAAAAATGGACACCAGGTGGGCAGACGCGCGGATTTCGCGATAGCGATCCCCGGGGAGGGGGTGGACGACGAGAGGTGCACTCTATCGGCCGGGGCTGTGACTAGGCAAGTTTCAGCAGCCCCCGCTATTTTTTGTTTGTCGTGCCGGACCACGCCTTTAATGGCACGTACCATACGATAAGCAAAAAAAGGGAGGAGGAGGAGGAGGATAAGAGGTACAGGGCCAATGGAAATAAAACAAACGAACAAGTACTCCTACTTACACTCACACATGGCAACAAGTCGAGAGTTCCGGGCATTGCACTTCCCGTTTTTTGGGAACAGGAATGCGGCTTCTGGAGAACCTGAGTCATGATTTCAGTCTGTCAGTCTGTTTTCTAGTGTTTTCTAAAGGAGGGGAGGATACGGTAACGAAGGTTTTGCTATGAGAGGATGAAAAGTTCTGCTGGTGAAAATAATTTGCTGCTGGCGATCATATTTGATCCTGTAAGTTCAGTTTTTCTTGAAAAATGCTGACGTTCAAGTACTTTGTCTGTGAGCCTTTTGAAGTATGGTACTGTGTAAGAAATGGAAATTGATTCTATTGTATGAAATATCTTGAAGTACCGTACCTGGAAGTTACAGTACTGCTTTAAAAAATATTTCCATGTTCATCTCATGAATTTCATATTCCATTTTCTATGGTATGTTTTGGGATGAGCCTTCTAGTTATGTTCAGACTTGGATTAAAGTTTGTTGAATAATTTTAATTATTTTTCTTGTCATAGGAAAATAAAATTCAAAAAATAATTCTTGGAAGGATGAATATTTCTAAAAATTCTTGATGCAAGTGCATTTGATTAATGTGAAGATCAAAAATAATGTGATTAATGTGAAGAATGTGAAGATCAAAAATAATGTGATTAATGTGAAGAATGTTAAGATCAAAAATATGTGGTGCCAGGTATTTTTCTCCTTTTCCCCCACCATATTTAATTTTCCATGTATCGATGCTTGTTACATCATTCGTGCGACAGTCTGTAGAAATTCATTTAATTTTCTCATTTTTTCATCAGTCTTTTTCTCAATGACACATTTCTTCGTGGAATTTTTTGTTTTATATTGCTGTCTCGCGGTCGGAGAATTTCAAGCATCGTGTTTGTCAATTTTTTCGAATAATAACATTGAACATCTATCTAGGAAAGCCTTACAAAAATCTGCTAGGTTTTAAAGTTTCCGCATTTTGCTTCGGCGAAATATTTGCGTTGGGAATTTTACATATAGTATTATGTGGAGGAAAATTTAAACAAATTGTTACTGGTATTTTTGGATTTGCTTCAGAAAGTTTTGTAACTCAAATTTCGATCGCAGATTCGTTGATCTTTTGTCAATGACACAGTTTTAAGGTGAAAATTTTCGTTTTGTTTTCCTGCTTCGGGAAATTTCAATATTTTAATCTCGAAAGCAGAAGGAAATTTTTCAAGTTTCATCGAATAACGACGTTAAATTAATTTTCGTATTCGGCCCAAAAACTTCAAGAAAAATTCTATTTTGAAAAGGTACTAAATTTGGTACCTGGGGAAATATTTCCGCCTGAGATTTGACATATTACCTGAAAAAGGTCGTTTTTTCAAGTTTGATGAGGTCAGAAATTTTTTTCTATCTACTGTTTTTGAAAAACGTTTTCAACCTATATTACGATCGTGCATTACTTTTTTTGCCTATGACACGAATATTTTCTTTTATTTTTCTGTTCCGCGATGATGAAAATATTCTCTACGTAGCTTCAAAATTTTAAATTTTCAAACATTTGTTTTGCCAAATAGCAACATTAAGTTCATTTATTCCATTTTGTCTGAAGGGTGCATTATTTATTTTAAATTGTTCGAATTTGACCTTAAAAAAATATGTTGAGTGATTCGAATTTTACCATCGGAGATTTAATTTGCTGATAATTTGAAGACGGAATATTTTATTGCACTTTTTCATAATTCGGAAGATTTTTTGTGTGTCTAACTGCAACAGTTTTGTGAATCAAATTTCGATTTCTGATACTCATTCTTTTGAAAAAATGTGTTACTCAGTAAGAACGTTTCTCTACGGAGTTTTCAAAGCATTATAATTTTCTTCGGCTTTTGTTTTCCTTCTGTCTTGAAATTCGGAGAAATTCGTTTTTATTTTCATTGCTCATCTCTGACCAAAAGTCAGGCGGGGGAAAAATGCGTTGCGCGGTTGGGTCGACTTGTCGAATCGTCGTACGAGAAGAAAAAAATAAATAAATAAAAATGAAGCAAAGGAAAAAAAGTAGGTTGAATTCGCGAAACTCCTGACCCGAAAATCGGTATTGTGTGTGTGTTGGTTGGTGTCTTCTTCTTCTTCTTCTTCTTCTTTGTCGACGTTGTGGCCGACGAGAAACGTCGATGTTGACGTGACGCGAATGTCGACGACGTTCGCGGACCAAACGATTCGCCGATTTTTCCTCTTCTTCTTCTTCGGAGTTGAGAAGTGAAAGTTGATTTTTTTTATTGTGGTTAAACCTCTAGTTTCAACTCTGAGAAATTGTCGTTCGTTGTGAATTTGTTTTTTTTTCTCATTCGGGTTTCAAAAGGGAAATCATATGGTTGACTTGATTTTTTTTTATTAGGTTATAGCAATTATTTTAGTTGTGGATTCGGGCTAGAAATTTTGTCTTCATTGCTGAATTTCGAGTGACAACAGTGTCTTTCTTTTCGATTTCGAGAGGAAAAGTAGATTTATAGAAAATTCTATTTCAATATTTGACAATTTAGAGAGCGAGTGATGAAAATGTGTGCAAATTTTTTCTAGAATTTTAGTCAATGTTTTCTATGGCTTTTTTTCAATGGTTCCTCCCGATTTCGAATAAGAATCTGCTGCAATAATTCATTTTTCAGTGGGCTTATGAAAGCATGAGAATAAATGTTCAAATTATCGAAAATCGCTGAAATTGTTATTGATCACAATTTTGTTATGGATACAGTTTTCAACGTTTTGGTTCGTCGAGTTTCGAGTGAAAATAGGGATTTTGGTTTTATTTATATTCAAATGTATGACACGATATTCAAAAAATAAAATTAGCAAAGTTTATATGCTTTTTAGTTTACATTTAATTTGAGTGAAAAGCTGAAAACCGTTCAATTTCTCCTAAAAAAAGGATTAAATTATGTTTGATTGATGTTGTGTGATCATGAATGATTGTGATGTCGGGTGTTGTTTGGTGCATGATTGTGACAGTGTTCTCAGTCGAAAGGCATTTTCAAGAATTTCCAACAAGGTTGCCAGTGGAATGCACGGTATGTTGAATGACGACAAGAACGAGAAATTAAACGAGTTATCGGTTTTTACCACAGAAAAAAATCTAAAAAAATTATAATTAAATACCATGAACTAATTTCTTCGATAAATTATACACTAAACGCATAAAAATATTTAAAAAATCAATGTTTTAATAATAAACTATTGAATGTCTCGACATGAATAAAATCGGACCATGACGAAGAAATTATGAAATTACCCGGTTTTGCTCAAATGCATATTATTATTTTTTTTTAAATAAACTTACAAGAAAGTAGGAAAATCATCAATCAGCTGGATTATTTCTGGAGGATTGAAAATTTTTGAAAACGTCTCTCGAAACGCCCCACTTTTGATGATTTGAGTTGTCAGAATGATTTTTCAACTTTTCAGTTGAAACGTACTTCTAGAGAAAAAGATTCGCCAGAAATTCCAAACTCAAATTTTGCAATCCCATCGAATACTCTTGAGAAATTTACATTTATAATGAAAGCATTTTTCCAAGATAATGTTGGTTGAATGAATGGACAAATTAATCAGCCGGTTCGATGTTAGTCAAATTTTTCTTTTTGAAATATTTTGCATTAAAAATACTTTAGATGGGAATTTCAACAGATATTCTGTTATTTCTACTGAAATTTCAATTTTCAATCTTCTTTATTCCAATTTTGCATCAGCGAAATTTGGAATTACCGTCGGGGTTTTATTTTTGGGGTTCTCACAGGGGATTGAATATATAATTCCCAGAGAGTGGGAAAGGGTTCTAAAAAGGTAGGGGGGTTATGACTGATGACCTCCAAGGCTTTTGATGCCATATGTAATTAACCCTTCAACTGAAGGGAGTGGCTTCACGTGTCTGGGATTTTTGAAGTGTCTCTGTATAATGCAGTATTATTCTTTCCTGTTTATTCGGTCGTCTCTGATCGATTCGAAAAATATTTTACTTCAGTGAATAAAAAGCATTTCATTTTAGTAAACTTGAATTTTATACCAACAATTTTAACCCGTTTGGACGTTTTAGGCCGAATCCTGAAACGCATCTATGATAGGAGAAAAAAAAATGAGCATGCTAAGATCCTGAAATTCATCCATGACACCTTTTCAAGTCAAGTCCAGACTAGTGATGGACTTTGAATCACGTCATCATAGCTAATATTTTTGTGAAGAACTTGAAATTGATTAACGCATTATTTAGGAAATATTTAGCTCATCACACGAGAAGCGGTATTTGCATACGGTTGCGTTGGCGACACTGTGCTTCTCGAGAGTAATGTGCTTTCGAAGATGAAGGCAATCTTGAATAGATGTCACTACGAATGCATTGCCGAAATTCTCCAGACCCACGCAACTTAATACTAAACGCTCTTTAAAGCACAATTTCCATTTGAAATATACTGCATATCACTCTTTTGTTGAGGTCTGCATTCACAGCTGTCGTGTATTTATCTGTCACGGTTTTTGTATGGAAGTTTCTCATGACTACAGATTTTGCTCTTTTTATTTTTCCTCTCTGATTCCACATCCAAAGTTGAACTATCCCGTGGAAAGTATGCGTGTTAAAATAAAGAAAAAGGGTTTACATTTTGTCTATTTCCACTTTCTGTTTTACAGTACTGTATGAACAGTATGTGCATCATGCCTCACAATTTGCATGTGTATTTCTTGACGACACCGTTCTTAGTAAGACTAAACCGTCATCCGAGCATGTTTTCCGTCTGAAAGTAGATGTCACTAGATGTTTCACGACGGCATTTCGAGGCCCGCTGCATTCGCGGTCGCCTCTTATACAGTAATTGTTTCCTTGCGATTTTGGACGCAAGTTTCTCGTGGAAAAGTGTGTTTTAAAAAAAATTTTAATGCACAGCCCAAATTGATATAATCACGTGCATAGTATGCGGTGACAAAAGAGGAGAACAGTTTTCATTCTGTCGATTTTCAGTTTCTAATATACTGTATGTACAGCACTGTACTATACTACACTTATGTGTACATATATCGTACAATTCATACTACACGAATTGCATGCGAAGCATTGACGACACAATGCATAGTAAATTCAACTATCTTCTAAGCATGTTCTTCGTCTGAAAGTAGATGTCACTAGATGTTTCATGACGGCATTTCGAGGCTCGCGGCATCTGCGGTCGCCTCTCATTATTGTTTTGTATCGATTTTGGACGTTAGTTTCTCATCGAAAACCTTTTTTTTCTTTTTATTTGATTCCACATCCCAAATTAGAAGAGAACGGTATACATTGTGTCGATTTTCAGTTTCTGAAATATGCACAGTGCTGTACCTGTACTGTACTTATTTGTACATCATACAATTCATACCTCACGAATTGCATGCGAATTGTTGACGGCACCGTGCTCAGTAAGACTAAACTATCATCTGAGCATGTTCACCGTCTGAAAGTAGATGTCGCCTTATGTTTCATGACGGCATACCGAGGCCCTTGGCATCCACAGACTTCTCTCCTTACATATTGTTTCGTACCGATTTTGGGCGCTAGTTTCTCATCGAAAACCTTTTTTTTTTTTCTTTTCTATTTGATTCCACAGCCCAAATTGAGATAATCCCGTGCAAAGTATGCGGTGACAAGAGCAGCGGGGTGCACTATGGCGTGATCACTTGCGAAGGCTGCAAGGGCTTCTTCCGCCGGTCCCAGTCCTCGGTCGTCAACTACCAGTGCCCGAGACAAAAGAACTGCGTCGTGGACCGCGTCAACCGGAACCGATGCCAGTACTGCCGACTGCAGAAATGCCTAGTGCTTGGCATGTCTCGGGACGGTGAGTCCATCCATCGGGTTCTATTCTCTGCTAATTTTGTTTTGGCATATAGGAAGCCCGCCAAAAAAAAAAAAGAAGGAGGAAAGAAAGTAAATGTGGGTCAGGATGAATTGAAGGCCTAAATAAAACTTCCCTTCTTATCAAGTGTTCATTCATCCGGCTTTGTTTTCTCTGTGCAAAATTTTGTTTGGCATTCGGTAAACCAAAATATAAAAAAGAGAAAAGAAAATGAATCAAATTTGGGCTATGAGGGTCATGATAACTTGAAGGCATGTCCCGGGACGGCGAGTCTAAACTTTTTTTTTTTTTTGCAGTACAGTATTTATTTAACCGACTTGTGCTCTCTTCGCCAATTTTGTTTGGCATTCCGTAGACCAAAATATGAAGAAAATGAGAATGGAGAAAATGAATCAAATGTGGTTTATAAGGGTCATGATAGATTGAAGGCATGTCTCAGGACGGCGAGTCTAAAACTTTTTTTGTTGCAGTACATTATTTATTTAACCGACTTGGGCTCTCTTTGCCAATTTTGTAAACCAAAATATAAAGAAAATGAGAAGAGAAAATGAATCAAATTTGGATTAAGAGGGTCATGCTAAATTGAAGGCATGTCCCGGGACGGCGAGTCTAAAACTTTCGCTCTTAAGCAGTTTTCATTTATCCGCCTTTTTTCTCTCTGCCAATTTTGTTTGGCATTCCGTAAACCAAAATTTAAAAAAAAGGAGCAGAGAAACTGAATCAAAATTTGGATTATGAGGGTAATGATAAATTTAAGGCATGTCCAGGTACGGCGAGTCTAAACCTTTTTTTTTTTTTTTTTTTGCAGTACATTATTTATTTAACCGACTTGGGCTCTCTTTGCCAATTTTGTTCGCCATTTTGTAAACCAAAATATAAAGAAAATGAGAAGAGAAAATGAATCAAATTTGGATTAAGAGGGTCATGCTAAATTGAAGGCATGTCCCGGGACGGCGAGTCTAAAACTTTCGTTCTTAAGCAGTTTTCATTTATCCGCCTTTGTTCTCTCTGCCAATTTTGTTCGGCATTCCGTAAACCAAAATTTAAAAAAAAGGAGCAGAGAAACTGAATCAAAATTTGCATCATGAGGGCCATGATAAATTGAAGGCACGTCTCGGGACGGCGAGTCTAAAACTTTATTTTTGCAGTACAGTATGTATTTACAACACTCGGGGCTTTCTTCGCCAATTTTTTTTTGGCGATCCAAAAACAAAACGAAGAAAAGAGAAAATGAATCAGAAGGAGAGGACGTGGGTCAGTTGAAGATATTATGAAGCCAGGAAGCTCCTGGCACTGCAATTTTAAGGAGGGGGAAATGATTCCTAGGAATTTATATTATATTTAATTATTAATGCGCGGCATGCTTGCCCAACGCTGGGAATTTGAACCAGATTTTAAAATTATTCAATCAATTTTTCTTCGAATGAAAAAAAAAAACAGCCGTGAAGTTCGGGCGGATGTCGAAAAAGCAGCGAGAGAAGGTGGAGGAAGAGGTGCGAGTGATCCGGGCCCAAATGCTGATCCCGGGCACCAAATTTGAGCCGGACTCGTCGGTGTATGACCCACAACTGCCTTCTTCGTCGGACCAGATCGCCTCTTCCATGCCTTACTCCTCCACCGGCGGCGGGTCAGTATTTTTATTTTATATACACGTCGAACCCTGTCAAAAACAAATCTCGGGTGTCTAGCAGCAAATAAAAAATAATAATTGAGTTACGGACAAGGTTTCGATTGAGGGAAGCAAGCAATTTTATTGTTGCTGTGGGAAGGATACGAGAATTGAGGGGAATTTTGAGTGGTGAACAAGCATAATTTTTTTTTTGTCGTGGGAACGATTCAAGAATGCCGGGGAATTTTCAGTGGTGACATGCTGGGATTTGTTTCAGTGACACCTCTGAGTCGCCTGCATAATTCATTTTTGCAATGAATATTTATTGCTAAAATGAAAATGAATGTTTATTCATTTTTTGTTTATTGCAATAATTCATTTTTGCCATGCATTTTTATTGAAAAAATGAAAAGGAATGTTTATTCATTTCTTGTGCATTGCAATAATTAATTTACAATGAATGTCATTGCTTGCAAAAATGAAAATGAATGTTTATTCATTTTTTGTTTATTGCAATAATTCATTTTTTCAAGGAATGTTTATTGCGAAAACGAAAATGAATGTTTATTAATTTCTCGTTTTCTGCAATAATTCATTTTTGCTATGAATGTCATTGCTTGCAAAAATGAAAATGAATGTTTATTCATTTCTTGTTTATTGCAATAAATTATTTTTTCAATGAGTGTCCATTGCAAAAACGAATGATGCAGGCGACTCAGAGGTGTCACTGAAACAAACCCCAGCATATCACCACTTAAAATTCCCCGACATTCTTGCATCCTTCCCACGACAAAAAATATTCCCCCCTGCATTCGGTAAATGTTTATGTCGGGTTGTGGCGGACTTTTCACGTTTCAAGTGTCCGTATGTTGAATTATTTGCGTGTCGAAGTGGCCCTTCGCCCATTTGATTTCGTTTCACAGACAAACCTTCTCAAGTCTAATTCCAAGGTTCCAGCGATTAAACAAAGGAGTTCGAGAGGCTTTCGAGTCAGGGAAACAAGCATTTTTGTTATTTTTTATTTTTTTGGTGAAAAATCACACACACACACAAATCCGTTTCTTTCACCCCCCGTTTTAATTACTTTCGTTCTTCGATTTTTTTTTTTTTTCACGTGGCAGGTATGGATACGGTGACCTGGGCAACTCGTACACCCCCAACGCCTACCACGGGTTCGGGCTCGTGTCCAGTATGGCCTTCGACATCGGCACCGACTTTGTCGACTCCACGACGTACCACGACCTCCGACAACCCGTGTCTTCAGCAGCCGCCTCGTCCTCATCATCTTCTTCTTCCGCCGCCGTCACTCCTGCCTCTGCCGCCGTCGCCGCTGCTGCTGCTGCTGCTGCCGCCGCTGCAGCAGCAGGAGGAGGAGGAGGAGCAGTGGCGCCATCTGCCACCACTGGAACACCCGGTGGCGGCGGAGGAGGAGGGAATAATAATAATAATAATAATGCCATGCTGGACAACACGGCGGCAGTGGCGGCAGCAGCAGCACACGTGATTGAACCATCATCCACAGCAACGACGCCGCAACAACAGCAAACCGGCGCCACGACAGCGGATATGATGGGAGGAGTGACGGCCGTGGTCCCAGGCGCCACGGCGATCGTGTCGTCCACAGGTAAGCCTGGAAATGGTACCAGCAGCAGCAGCAGTGGCGCCGCTGCTGCTGCTGCTGCTGCTGCGAGCAAGGAATCTCTGCTGGAGTTTGGGTGCGCGTCGGCTGTGGTGGCGGCTTTTGAGCAACAACAGCAACAACAACAACAACAACAAGAGGCGGAAGGTGGTGGTGGTGTTGGTATGAGTGGTGGTGGTGCTGGAGGAGGAGGAGGAGGAGTGGGAATGGCGCCGGCGCCGCAGCCGCCGCCTCCGGGCTCTGGAACGACCGCCGTGACGATCACGCAGCTGTGTCGGGACTATTGTGAGGCCACTCATCTGGGTTCCCTCATCCCCATTTCTTCCCCCCCCCTACTACTTTCTTATTTATTTGTTTGTTTCCTTCTTCTTGTCCCGAAATCTGGTCTGTTTTATTTTTATTTTTCTGCTTTCTTTCTCTTGTTTTCTATAAATATCTTTGAAAATTTTTTAGCTCGGGATATAAAGAAAAAAGGGGGTCAGTTCACAAAATTTGAGTCAGTCATTTGTCTTTAGATTGCTAAATTATTTTATGCTTGAATGGAGATGGAAGTGCTTTTTACAGAGTGATTTAATCAATTTCTGAATACAATTTTAATTTTATTTCTTGTGTCATCTGGGTCATAACTCATAAGAGTTGTTTTATAAGTTTTTTTTTTAATTGTATGCTTAATTTTTTGAAGTCTGATTGGGAGGGTGGAGATGAAGGTGATTTTACAAAATGATATAAAATCCGTGACAGCTTTTAAAAATGTTTGCTGATTAAGATAAAAAAAAATGCAGAGAGAGCATCGATTTGAATTCATTAAGGTGCAAAATTGAGTGAGTCAAACTTGAATGTTTTTTGTTGTTGAAATTTCTAGCAGTTCATGGGTTTTCAAAAGAATTTAAAATCTTGGTGAGAAACTCCTACTTTTGAGCTTTGACTACCATTTTTTTTTCTTGGAAAAATGGGCAATTCAGATCTTTTTATTTAATTATTTTTGCGTTGATGATTTTTGAATGAAGGGTTGTCCTGGAATTTAGTTTCTGTAAAAAAAATTTTTTTTTTGGACACTTGAGGCGAATGAAGATAAATTTTGGTACAGAACAAGCTTAATTTCTAAAGGAACTGATTTGAATTTTTGAGACCCAGTCGTATTAAATGATTGATAAAGTTAATTTTATTTTCTTAAAAATTTTCTTTTTTACTTTTCTCCCGACTTTTCCTTATTCACCTGACTTTTATTTGATGATTTTTCTCCTATATTTTTCCGACTTCTTCTGGAATCTGCGCTTCCTTCTGATGAAGTATTCCCAAATGTTTTGCACGTTGTGTCAAATCTTCACTTACAGGCTTTTTAGTGTACAGTATTTACTGCATGCCAATCTTTGGTTTCTCTTATCTCAAAAGTTTTTCTATTATTTCAAAAACAAGCATGTTCAGCAGTTTTTGTCCTTTAAAATCATTTTGCTGTTCATCTTCTCTCAAAGATGTTCATTTGTTTGACGAAAATTCAGCAAAGGATGAATTATTTGTAAAAAGATTGTTTGACATTGAAAATTCTGCACACTTTTGAGCGGCGAAAAACATTTTCTTAACTTTCCTTTTCGAAAAATGGGTCTTGTACTAAGATAACGTTTTCAAAGAAATGTACATATTTTATTTTGCGCCGTGTTCAGAACTGTTGGTTTTTCCTCCATACAAAGATTTGAAGAATTTTTTAGTGTCATCAGCGATTTTTTTCAATTTGATACGAGTTATACGAATTATATATTTTACTCGTATAAAAAAATTCTTTTCTGGTGAAATACTGTAAAATCACGTTTGTAATTTAAAGTAAAAGGATTTTCGGCGTTTATTTCAAGAAATTTTCTAGGTCATTCAACTGACGTTTACGTGCTTCCCTATATTTTCAAGTGACCAAATTGTGATGATCACGTTTTTAATCTAAAATCTAGAGACATATTCGTGCACATTTTTTTTTTTGAAAAACTTTTCCTTCATTTGAATCTTTCTTCTTCTCTAATACCGTTACTATATTGTATTTGTTTTGCTTTTAAAAATATTATTCATGCATGTTGTGTCAAAACTAATTGAGGTGGGGAATCTTAGCGGATAATACTTTTTATTTTAATTGAATGCCTTTTTGTAAGATATTTTATTTTGGGATTAGCCCTTGTTTTAGATGCATGCGCAACAAATTAATGATGCATGTCTTCTATTTTCTATTTCTTTCTTTTTTTGTTTATATGCATGCCTAAATCATAAGTTGTATTTATGTATACAGTGAGACCCCGAGATGCGGACGTAATTGGTGCATCAAGAGTGTCCCTAGGTCGAAATGTCCCCAAGTCGAGTCTCATTTTCCATTAAACTTACGTTATATAATTTTTAATTGGAGTTTTATGGACAAAATGCTCAAAATAATTCCATGAAAATAAATACTGTCTCATAATTGAAACTGATTCAATCAATATATTTCAACAAAATATGGACATTTGGAGAATTGAATACTTATACCTCTGTGTATATTACATGGAAATGTTGGCATTCTCTGTAAAAATAACATTCAAGTGAAAAGAGAGAAGGAAGTCCCTCTATGCTGGAGGTAATTTTTTCATTAGCTAAATTGATGGTAAATTGGTAAGAGAAATGCCCAAGAACTATTCTTACATCAACTTTAGGGCTGGAAATATCTGTTTCTTGTAATTTGGCCTGAAACGTATTCGCAATTTTATCACAAAATGTCCCTATGTTGAGTCAATGTCCTCATGTTGGGCCTTTTTTTATTAATTTTTTATGGAAAAATAAGTGTCCCTATGTCGAATTTTCCGCTTGTGGGTGTCTCACTTGTATTTTATTTATTTATTGTGAATGAACAGAAGCAGTTTTAGTTTTGCTGCGAAGGAACCTTTAATTTCGTTTGTAATAAAATGCGTGTACTGATCCTGATTTCTGTATTTTCTTCCCCATTTTCTTTTCTTCTTCTTCTTCTTCTTCCACTTCTTCTTTTTTTTCTGTTCCTGGGTGCATTTGTTGTCATCTTTCGCATTCGGAAGCAGATAATCCGCAAATCGCGGAGCCATTGGCCAGATTCGTGACCGAGGCTCATTTGCGGACGTGTCTCATGTCAACTGAGCAAATAGCTGAGCTCATCTTTGCCAAGAAGCACACGGATCTCAACAAGCTTCTCTACTACAAGAACATGGTGAATTTTCTTTTCTTTTATTTTTTTTGTATTTGAGAAATATTCGAATTCAATAAATTTCCACGAAGGTTTCAATGGAAATAAAATTTCGACTCAAATTGTGGATCCGAGAATAGCAGCATGTTTTCTTCACTGAAATGACGATGAGAAAAAGGGGGTTTTCAGCGAATTTGAGTGGAAGTGAGGTGTGCAAAATGAAGAAATTCGAGTGTTTGCGTAACAATTGACAACAAGTTTAATTGGCTCCTGACAAATTTATTTTCTTAGATTTGATTTTTCCTCAACTGTATTTGAACGTCAATTTTTTGGAAATTTTTGGTATTCAGTAATTTTTTGATGGTTTGGAATTAATTCGAGTTTCACATCATTGTCAACCCTTGGTAAAAAAAATCTAATTTGTCAACCAAGGAGTCTGTTGAGGAATGGAAATGTATCACTGTCAAGATTGTTTTATAACTTTTTTTATTCCGCAATTTTGATGATTTTTAATCGTTTTATATTCAAATTGAAGAAAAACTGAAAATGAATTGCAAATGAATGGAATAATTTTATTCATGCGTTAATTTTTTCGTTGCTTCTTTTCTTTTTTTTTTCTACAGGGCCACGAGGACTTGTGGCTGGATTGCGCGCAGAAATTGACGGCCATTATTCAGCAAATTATCGAATTTGCAAAATTGATCCCGGTCTTCATGAAGCTGTCTCAGGAGGACCAGATCGTGCTGCTCAAAACCGGTTTGTATTTTTTTCTTTCAATCTAATGCAGTGTATTCAAAAAGTCTTTCAAGAATATTTGCCAAGCATTTTTAATTCTCCATTTTTAACACCTGTTCGTAGAGAAATTACCGTAAAAATATGATTCCGATTTCCTATGTTCTCTCCTTTTTTTTCGACGGAAAACGTTGAAAAAATTTCAATATAAATGAATGGAAAGTCCAGCAAAAAACTTGCACTACTTGAATTAAAACCTTGAAAAGTGTGGCAGGATTCGGGCGACACCTGTGTAATAACGAAGTAAAATCGTTTTCTCCTGGTATTTTCTGGATGGAAACTGGTTGAGAAGAAGCTTTTTCATTAAAAGCATCAACTTCTGATCTCCTCTTCTTTTTTAGTGTAGTTTAATCTTTTTGAATTATTCCTGTTCCGGGAAAAAGGTGAGAGTGAATTTCCAAAAAGCTTCATTTTGAAACTTGGTCCAGTTTTTTTTAGAGATGTAACCATTTTTGTAAACTTCTTACTCATTTTTTTCTGGAAGTGTCGGCAATGTTTTAAATCTTGGAGTCAATGTTTAGATGTTGGGAAAGACTAATATTTTTTTTATTGGAGTGAATTCACTGTAAGCTTCATTTTCCATTTTTGTCCGGTATTTTTCAAGAGATAAATTTTAAAAAATTTTGCAAAAATAGTATTTTTCTCGAAGTTTCGGCAAAATTTTCATATCTTGCGTCATTTTCCAGATGTTGGGGCAGACTCAATTTTCTAAAAACGTAAAATGTCCGTAAGTTGAGTCATCTGCATTTCAAGGCGTCCCCGTTATAATGGAATAATTATCGTTTTAAATAGGATTTGATCCGTTAAAATGGAATAATAGTTTTTAAATGGAACTTGATTTGGTTGTTATTTTTTTGCAGGGAGCTTCGAATTGGCCTGTTTGCGGATGAGCAGGTACTACGACTTGGGCCAGCAGGCCGTTTTGTTCGGGGATGCCCTATTGCCGGCACAGGCCTTCATGACGGCGGACACGATTGAGATGAACCTGGTCAAGTCCTGCTTCGAGTTTGCCCAAGAAGTCGCCGAAATGAAGCTCACTGAAACTGAGCTCGGCCTCTTCTCCGCCTTTGTTCTTCTCTCTCCAGGTGATCATTCATTCTTTCTTTTTTGTGTGTCTCTTTTCATATGCATTGATTTACACTTTTCTTCCTCCTGTTTTGTTGTTGTTTTTAGCTTTCATCAGGAAAAAAAAATTGTGTTGCTGATTGTCAAGGCGTAATTTCTGTGCGAGGAGCGCCATCTATGATTCTGAAATCTTTGTTGAGTTTCTTGTTGGTCGTTGTCAGTGTGTTGTACTTTTCTTGGTGGAGTTTCTTGACTTCGGTGGATGCATTGATGATTTATCTTTCGCAATTTTTACCAACAAAATGGGAATTTTTCAATAGAAAAAAAAGAATCCATTTTAGAAAATAAATTGAAACCTCCCTCAAAAATGATTTGAATCCTCATTTTGATGTTGGCTGACCTAAGAAATTGAGATTTTCTTGTTAGTCTTATGCTTCCCTTTTCGGAGTTTTGACAAATGAATCGAGTTCATGAGTTATTATGCAACAAGAAAATTCCGATCGCTGAAAGCATGTTACGTACTGCTTACGTGGAAGAAAAAACATTTTGTGTGATTTTCTTAAAAGAAAAATATTTAAAAAATGTCATGCAAAAACGTTCTGATACTGATACAAATCCCGTTAAAAAGTGTCTTCGAAGTCATTTCAAATGTAAAATACATTTTAAAATGGTACTCCTTGAAAATCGTGTGTTATCTCATTTTCCATTTTAAAAAAAATTTCCATGAATTTAAAATTTAAAATTAAAAATGGAAGATTATTTGCTCTTTAAATAACGTAATGCTCTTCTAATCTCCTTTTTCCCCCAAGTTCTCCATTATTTTTTTAATTTAACCGAAGTGTATAGAAGACGAAGCCATCCATAATTTTCAAAGATGAAAGTTTCCAACTAATTTTGTTGGAAAAGTACAGATTACATACTCTTAAATTTAAAAAAATTCTAAATCATTCCCATTTAAAAACGAATTTTCTATTTGATGAAAATGCCACCATGTGTATACAAGAAGAGCGCCATCTATGATTCGGAAAATGATTTTTCTTTCTATACCTACTGGTGAGAAAATGGCAGAAATTTTATCCTCGACCTCGTCAATCTGTTTGATTTTTTTTTTCAAAATAGAATTGCTATAGTCTTTGAACTGCAAGATTTATTTATTCATTTTTGTGAATTTTTTTTTTTTCAGACCGACCAGGACTGAAGGACCTGCACCTGATTCGGCGGATGAACCTGGCCGTGCTCGGAACCCTTCGGATCGAGTTGTCCAAGACCCATCCGTTGCCCATCAAGGGTGACGTGTCCACCATCGACTGTCTCCTGGCCAAGCAGGACACCCTGAGGGAAATCAGCATATTGCACCTAGAGTCGCTCCGCCGCCTCAAGACCACCGCCCCTCACCTCGAGTTCCCCGCTCTTCACAAAGAACTCTTTGCCGTCGACTCCTGAAACCAACCCCCCCCCCCCTGCGATCCCAATCCCCAATTTATTTTTTTTTGCTCCCGAAAGTTTCACATTTTATTTTGTTTTTGTTTTGTTTTTGGGTTATTGTCGAGTCGAGTCACTCCTCTTCAAATCCACTGGTTCTGGAGCTTTTTTGTTGTTGTTGAGATCATTGAATCACATTTTTGTGTGGCGTGTGTAAACGTTAAAAGTCCAGAGTCAAGTCTGATTTGGATTTTTGGGAATTCAATTTACGTGTTTGTGGAACCCTCTAAAAATTAAATTAACATACTGTACTGTATAACATGAATTCAAGGTGATAGAGGTGATTTTTGCTTAAATTGCCAGTTATCTCAATGACGAGACCAAGTTTGAAAGAAAAGATGGAAAGGAGAAAGTTGAAATACCCAAGTATGCCAACATCATTTTGAACAAGGAATATTGAAAAAAAAAACAACGACCCCCATTGAAGTCCTAACCCGACCCAGAGTTGCTTAACCTATAAAAATTATGTAAGACTTGGAATGTTAGAAAGAAAATTGTTCGAACCTGGGCTCTAGTAACAATTTTTCGCAAATTAAATTTTGGAACAGCTTGCAAAAGCCTGCGTTTGTATGAACTTTGAAAGAATGAATCTAGTCTGGATTCATTTTTAATGATTTTTTGCTTAAATTGCAGATTTTTCTATCAATAAATCTCTAGCTTAGGTGGCAAAGTTTGAAAATACTAATAGTGGAGCTTGAATTACGAGGCATGATCCCTTTTTTTGGGCATGTGAATAAGAGGTTTGACAAGAAAAAAATAAGGGTTCCCATCCAAGTACTAACCAGACCCAGAGTTCCTTAACCCGTGTTCCGCTACCGTATTTTAGCGCTAGACCACTGAAGTTACTGTACTGCAGTATTGTATCGTACCGAACCAGGCCCACCGTGCAGCAAGCAAACAGTGGTGTGACTCGACTTGACAAGTGTATTTTCCATGGGAGTGAAACAAAAGCGGCGGAAAGTGAAAGAAAACGTTTCTCCCGCTGACCTGATTTTGAAACACAAAAAGCGTCGTCCGGCCAGTATACCCCTTTAAAAAAGAAAGAAGAAGAAGAAAATGAAACAAGAGACGGAATGTGAATGTGTGGTTTGCAAAGGGAACGTATGAGGACATTTTTTTGTTTGTTTTTCTTTTTTGTTTTTGTCGTGGTATTTTCTCCCCTGGTTCAGGAGTTTCTACCTCAGGGGTGTCAATTTTCTGACGAAAGAATATTTGATCATGTTGGGAAATAGTTCTCGATTTCGGATTCAGGATTCAGCAAAAAACCCCTAGGACGTCAGTTTCTTATTGTTGCTCATTTCTATCCAGAGAATTTCTCTTCATAAAACAATTTGCTTTTCTCAGAACCAAAAAAGAAACTTTGCTGCATTGCGGTGGGTGCACTGAAATTCACCTGTGGGGACTATAATCTTTTGTGGTCATTCAAACCTGTGTTTTACCTAGGAGAGGGTTTTATAATTGAGGGGAAAAAAACTCAGAAAAGATCTTTCAAAGTCAAATACCTTTAAGAAAAATTTTGGCATTCAGCTAATTGTTTCGCGCCCACCGAGTTTTCCGCAAAACAAGTTCTTGTTCCTTCTTGCTAGAGAGCAAAAAAAATAAGCGCATGGAGGATATATATATATACGTATAAATATATATATATTTGAACCGTTCAGGCTTGTGATCAGAGAATTTGAAGACTTTAGGTAATTGAAGAAGGGAAAAAGCAAAATTTTCTCTCAAACTCGCTTCTTTTCATATATGCCCTTGAGGCAAAAGATTGGCGCCGTTTTTATTTTTTTCTTTTCGGAATGCGAGGATAAGTAAGATGAAGAAGAGGAGAAAAGATAGAAAAAAAATCACTGCCAACGACTCAAGGGAGAAACTTTATACCGGTTCCGAATTTGTGGCTTGAAAGGATTTTTTATACGCGAGTCCCGACCCTTCTGACAAGATGTCGCTCTTTCCTCACTTTTGCCTCCTCTTGGGATCTTTTTTTCTCTCATTTTGCTGAGCCGCTTGGGATTTTATTTTGTGAGGACGGATTATTGGGGAAGGGGTTTTTCATTATTATCCTAGTGATATTTGATCCATGGGTAACAAACAAAATCGTCCCTTTACTCAACAAGGTTTTTATAGAAGAATATGGTTTGCTTGATTCATTTCAAATTTAAACTACTGTACTCAGTATCATGATATTATGATTTTTCCAGAACAGCTTTTTAATAATTTTGTTCAATTGATATTTTTGCTATAAAAATATCCATAAGATAAACTTGAATCTTTAGGTTTTTAATCTGCTGATTTCTTCTGGTTTTTGAGTGAACCTTCAAAATGAACCCATATTCAAATCACTTAATATGGTGACCTATTAGACCTTCTGAACCTAATTCAAAATCATCTGCAAGAACTGCTAAAAAACCAAGTAAGGCATAATTGAACTACTGATTGTGTGGAAGTAATTATCAAATATTTTGGACTGTACCATTTATTGATACTAAGTGCTTGTAAAATCAGATAACAGTTATGCTGGAAAGTCTCAAATATTAAAGGATTTTCCATTAAATTTGTTTTTCTCTCCATGGTAAAGTAATTTGGATAATCAAACATTTCTTACATCTCTGAGATACTGAGCTTGAAGCTTTTTCTCATCAGTCTCTTTCAATTAGCTTCTTTGCATATTTTATTTTAAGCTTGCAATGTACTGATTCAAAAAGGAGAGAACTATTAAAATTTTGACTGACTGCCATTTCTATCTAAGTCAGGTGCGCAAAGTATATGCAGTAGTAGTATCTCTTATACAGTGTTAGAATGTTTGCTTAGAGTGACTCACATGTGAATCCAGAAAAGGAATGGTTTTGTTTGTTGCCCACGGAAAACTGAACTCACTTTTTTAGCCGTTGTGACGCTCTTGTTGTGATTCAAACACAGTTGGCCCTCCTGTTGGTTCAAAAAAAAAAAAAAAGAAAGAGGAGAAAAAGAAAAATGAAACTTTTTCTCTTGCGATTTCTAAATTGTGAATGAGAAGCGGAGGAGGGTTTTGATCGCTCATATTCTTGCTCTTAAATGCGGGGTTTACGTGCCTGGTTATATTATAAATAGCTCCTGACTGTTTTTTTTTTTAATTCCTGTCCTAGTGCAAAAAAAAAAAGGAGGAACATTTTTTCCGGCTTACTTTTTTTGTGTTTTTGAACGTTCCTTGGTGGTAAATAGCGTTACCAGTGATGGGAAGGAAAAACATTTTTTTGTTTGTTTGTGAGGCGGGGAACACATGTGGCAACCCTGTGGTTTTTTTTTGTGCGTGGGACAAGGGGTAAACATTTTATTTTATTTTGAAACCCTTTATATTTGGTGCTTTTTCCCCCTCCGTTCCCAAAAGAAAATTTTGGACGCAGTTCTTTTTTTGCTAAGCGCGGATTTTGAGTCAAGAAAATTGGCGACGAACATGTTTTTTTTTTGTGTTCTTTGTTTTGTTGTGGGGCTGACAAAATTCGCGCGGAGCAGAAAAGCGGTTTTTTTGTTTTTGTTTTCCTCCATATGGACGGAAAAGATATTATTTTTTTTTCTCTGTTATTTGGCACAATATGTTCCTGTTATCGGTTGGTTAGGAGATGGAGAGATTGGTGAACTCACGACACGCAAAAAGAATTCTTTTTTCGCTGTGAAAGACGTGAAGGGAGGTTTTAAAAAAAGAAAGAAAGTTTGTGGAAAATGCGGGAAAAAAGCAGAGAGAAGAGATGGAAAAAAACAAACTTTGTACATATGTATAAGTTTTTATCTCATTGCAAACAAAAAGAATGCTCCCCCCTCTTCTGAGAAAGAAAAAATGATTCTTTTCTTGGTTTTTGTTCTTTCATCTTTTTCCTGATTTAAAAAATACCACTCTTCCCCTTTTTCGTGCGTTTTTTTTTTTAATTTCGCAGAAGGAAAAAGGTTTCGACCGTCCGTCCATAAAATTGAGCAGGAAGAAGAAAAAAAAACGAAGAGAACTTTGGTGGGGAAAATGGTTTTTTTCCTTTTTTGGAAAAATTTTATCCAGTGGTTTTTTTTTTTTTTTTTTTTTCAATGTCGGGTATTTAATCTGGGTAATTTATTGCGATCGCCTTCTTGCGTTTTTATTTTTCATGTTCCGTTTTCTTGGACAGGAAATCCGGTGTCAGGCTTTGTTGTCTTTGAAGAAAAAAAGCAGAGGTTCGAAATTCCGAAGAAATTTATTTTTTTCCCCCTCAGAGAGAAAGAAAAAAGAGGAATTCTGAAAACGGCCGTTTTTTTTTAAACTCGGGTGTTTTTTTCCTTTTTTTTTTTTGATGCGCCTGAAATGATGGATGGCAAAATACACTTTTGAAATCAGTGTTTTTCCTTTTTTCGTGTGATTTACATTCCATTGAAAAAAAGGAAAAGGGGTTTTGTGCTGATTAATTTTGTGCACGCCCCTTTTTTTTCGCTCACATCTCTATTTTAAGCCACGGAATAATGTATGAAATTCTCATTTGTATAATTGTATTTGATTTGACTCGAGGTATATTCAACTGAAAAAAGTGAAAGAATCCCTCAACTTTTCGTTTTTTTTAAATGACTGGACAAATGCGGATCAAACCCGCTGAAATAAATGCAAAAAAACAATGCATTTTTCATTTTAAAAACTGTAAAGTCTTGACTAAAACTCCTTAATATAATGCACAATTGAAAAATCTTGGGTTAACAGAATGTCATGATTAATACAAGGAATTAAATTTTTATTAACTTTTCTTGATATTTATTCGAATAAGAAAATGGAGTAACATTTTCAACTGCACTTTTGGTGAGAGAACATTTTTATTCTGTAGAAAAACTGTTGATTCATTCCACTTAGTCTTTTAAAAAAAATCGCAGAATTGAACCCTACTTGAAAAATAAGTTTTAAAAGGAGTTGTGGGGATTCCAGCAGTAGTGTAAAATATTTTTTGTTGTCCTTATCACTATCACAGAAATGTATTTCCTTTGTACTTTTTAGTACTGTACATGATTGAAAAATATAATTTGAAAGCATTTCCTTCAAATAACTGGCAACAAATAATGACATGCGCTTCCTTCTTCCTTGCCAAATTGTCAAGAAAATGTTGACTGAATTCAGTTTTTCATCTTGCATTGCTAAAAAAAATTTGACATTCATTTTTGTCATGAACCAAAAACATTCATGTTATGGCGCGAAATTTTACACATGGGGTTTATGCTGCTCATGAAATATGCGCTAACTTAACTTATTCTATGTTCACGTTTTTTAGCTAATTTTTAGATCTGCGTTTGTTATTAAAATCGCAAATAAATGTGGAAGATTTTGCATAATGTACTATTTTATACTGTATAGGCTAATATAATTTTTTTCGCATGTTCATGTTCAGTTTGAAACAGGTTTGAAATTGATTTACCGTACCCCTGAACTTTATAAATTTAAAACACGTGATTTAATTGACTCTATATACATGCAAATTATGGAAATGTGCTCTTATTATGACGTCGCGAGTTCAAATGGTTCAATGGAAGCTCAAGTAGATTACTTTCACTGCTGATTATTCGAGCTTGGTGCAAAATGCGAACAAATAAGTCATTATCAGTGACATATTTCTTCGCCTTTAATTTCCTCTTTTATGGGAGAATAACCAGGTGCGAAAATTATCTGGTTCCTGCATGAATCCTTTGGAAAGTGCATACATATATATAGAGATGAATAGGCTAATTTTAGCAGAATGCAAACATTTTTGATAAGGGGTTCTCTGAAGGAAAGTCGATTTATCCCTGCAAGGTGAAACATGTTGGTTCAAGGACTTTCTTTGTTGTTGACACTTGCAGCTTTGGTTGACTCAGCTGCAATTCCTACTAAAATTGGTGAGGAATTTTCAGAGTAAACATCTATTCAGAAATGAAAAGAAAATGGTTGTATAATTTTAAATCTATATTGATCTTTTTCAGTTTTTTGTCTCCTTGGAATTTTGCAAAGGATGAATAAATTTAACTTTGTTAAATTGAAGTTATGACACACAGTATACTGAAATGTCATTCATGACAGGTTTGCAGGACAAGAATGAATTAGTGGACAATAAACAATGAAAAATTCAAATTTTATAAAAAAAATTGCCCCTAATTTATCAAATAATCCAACCCAGTCTGAGTACAGTAATTATAGAGCTGAATTTGATGGAAATTGTTTGATTGTCTTTATTAATTTCCAGGAGGATTTTCTGGAAGAGTAGATCAAAGTGGAGTCACAGTCTCAGGACTGTCCTCTGGAGGAGCATTTGCCACTCAATTCCATGTGGCCTACTCTGAACTGGTCACTGGAGCTGGAATAATTGCTGGAGGTAAAAATTGAAATTTTTATAAATAAATATCTAATTATATTCATCCATTAGTTTTTTATTTATTTGACAGCACCTTATCATTGTGCTGGAGGCAACTTGATTCAGGCAACTTACTGCCAAACTTTGCCCTCCATGGTGAGTGTGTCCTCAATGGTCAGTGATGCTGAGAGCTTTGCCAGGACAGGCAAGATTGACAGTCTGGACAATCTGAGTAATGACAGGGTCTACATCTATCACTCATCACTGGACACCACTGTTAACATTGGAGCTGGACACTCTGTGAGGGACTTTTATGAGAATTTCATGCCAGCTTCCAGCATCACCATTGAAAGTGGCATTTCTTCTTCTCATGGCATTGTAAGACATTTTATCAGAATTTTCAAACAATCAGGGATTTTTAATCAAGATTCAACAAATGTGTATAGCCCACAGAGAATTATGGTGATGCCTGCTACTCATTCCTGAGTTCAACTTACATTTTGGAATGTGGATACAGTGCAGCATTTGAGGCAGTCAATTATTTATATGGTGGAATCAATCCTGCAGCAGCCAGTGCCCCAGGAACGTTGTCAACATTCAGCCAAGGGGATTTTGTCACAGGAGATCCAGCTGCAATCAGCATGGCTGACACTGGCTATGTGTACATCCCTACAAATTGTGAGACTGATGACAGTGTTTGCAAGCTACATGTGGTATTCCATGGCTGCAGACAAGGAATGTAAGTACAGTACTGTATAACCTCAATAAGGGAGATTTATCCCAGTCTTAACATTCAAGAAATATTTTTATGTCTGCCAGTTTTTGATCACAATTTTAAAGAGTCCTGCTTCATTCAAGAGCTCAATATCAATAATTATGAAATTAAAAAAAAACTACCTTGGTTGAACCATGCATTTCAACACTCAGCATCCACTACAGTAATGATAAATAAGTTCATGTTAAATTTCACTCTGACATCTCAAACTTTGAGCAAATATGGAAAAATAAATTTAGGAATTCAGTGACTCAACCTTCAGCAGAAAATCTAAACTCAAACTGCTCAAAGGCAGTTTTCATGCTTGTTGGAGTTCAAACTTAAAAATCATGACAGTCCATACCAATAAAAATTCCTCATGTTTTGAACCATGTATGGAAATGAAACAAGACTCTAGTTTGAGGCACCATGGTATCCTGAATGACTGTCAGAGTAAAACTCATATAATTTCCCAATATTCTGATGAGACTTCTCGTTTTTTTGCAGTGATGCTTTGGGTGACATCTATGTGAAACATGCTGGATACCTGGAGGTGGCTGAGTCCAATGACATTGTCCTATTGTTCCCTCAAGTCAAAGCCAGCATATTCTCACCTCAGAACCCTCTTGGATGTTGGGACTGGTGGGGTTATGATGATGCCCTTTTTGCAGACAAATATGGTATGTTTAGAATTCAAATAGCAGACCATTCATCAGAATCAAGTTTTTCTTCTTCTCCTATACACAGCAACCAAAGAAGGACCTCAAATGGAAGCAGTGTACAACATGGTACTCAATCTGATGAGCTGAGAGGTGCTTCATCTAAAATGTTTTCACTCACTTTTTTTTTTTTTGCTTGGCAATAATAAAGAACACAAATATTTTAACCACTGGGGTAACTTTTTTTTTTTGGTGCTGAAAAAAAGACCCATCCCTGAAGGCAAGCTGATGAAGACATTCAGCAGTTGGCTGCTGCTTTGAAGAAGCGCGTTCACATGCTTTGAAGGCATTCTGCAACTCATCAACACACAAGCAGGAATGAGCGCACATGTAAACAATTAAGATATATCTTCTTGGCTCATTCATTACCAGCATCTGTCTCACAATTTTCTTTCTTCCTGTACAGGGTTTCCCTATTAAAAAAAAGTCATCCATATTCCTCAAACCAACCTGGGAACAAGAAAAATCAGTGTACAAAGAACTTCCACAGTTATTTATAGTTGGAGATTGAAAGCTGATGAATCAGAGTATTTCAAGTTTGCTCTTTGTAGACTAAAAGTGTAATTTCTCAAATGAAAGCATTTTTCTCAAAAGCACCCTGTATATTTAGGGATGGTGACTGCTGTCACTTTAGTAACCTACAAAAAAAGGTCAATGAAGCATCTCCAGATGGAGAAAAAAGATCCTATAGACCTATACAAGTCAGACTTTTCATGCCTCAGTTTTGCTGCACGCACATCTTTTTAGTTCTGCCTTCCAAATTTTTTTTTAAATACTCAGTGCACATTTTTCACTGATTGTGGGTGCAGTTGTGATACATAATAGTGGAGGTGAATTTCAACTGTGATTTCAATTTTTAAAAATTGAATTGAAACGTGATTGTTTTTCAGTATAGAGGAAACATGTTGGAAAACATTCCTTGTCGCTACACCTTGGCAGTGCTGGCATTTTTGGGATTTGTGTACAACTACAGCATGAGGATCAACATGAACATAGTCATTGTAGCCATGATCAACTACACTGCAATCCCTCATATCAGTCAGGCTGAGCAGGCAAAGGAATGCTCAGTTGAGGGAGATGTCAGCCATTTGATCAATACTAGTAGTCCATTGGTTCCTGTTGTGGACACACACCATCCTTCGCAGGTTAATGTCAGATTGAATCATTTTAATCAGTGGTCATAATTTTCATTCATGTTTAATTAATATTTTGGAGGAAGGAGAATTTGCTTGGAATGAAGAGCAGCAAGGACTGGTGCTTGGGTCATTCTTTTGGGGATATATTGTGACTCAAATCCCTGGGGGCAGGGTTGGAGAGTTGTATGGAGTGAAAAGGGTCTTTGGGCTGGGGCTGATGGTGGCAGCATTGCTGACCCTGCTGACACCCCTTGCTGCTAGGACTGACTACAGACTGTTGATTGCTGTGAGGATCCTCATGGGGATCTTTGAGGTGATTCTGACACTTTTCGTTTTCTTTGCATCATTAGATCATCCCATCCAAGTTTTATGCTTGATTTTTATTACTGTATTTTGAAAACTGTGAATATTGAACACTGTCATGTATTGACCTATCATGGATTCCATACATTCTAATGAAGAAACAGAGGAATATAGGCCCATCATTTTCCTTGAAATCCTATTTTCAAGTGATTTCTGAGGACAGGGAAAACTTGAATGAATGAATGAACAGAAAACTTTATTTGCCACTTTTCAGCGTTCACAAGGCACAACCAAGACTCCCGCATCCAAACCCCCTCCCATCAGAATCACCTCAAAGATCCCCATGAGGATCCTCACAGCAATCAACAGTCTGTAGTCAGTCCTAGCAGCAAGGGGTGTCAGCAGGGTCAGCAATGCTGCCACCATCAGCCCCAGCCCAAAGACCCTCCCCACCCAACCCAACTCCCCCCAAAGACATTCAATCACTTCAAAGCATGAAACAAAGCACAAACCAATGACAAAAACAAATGAGAACACACTCCACAAAATAAAACTGGACATCCTACACGTATGCTGCATAACTTGGTCTGTATACTTGCATGACCATCAGAAACTGAGGTCCAAAAGCAATATGTAATGGTGAATGCACTTTGGTTTAAAGAATATTATACGCTTTATGTGACTTGCATTTATTATGATTTGCAATACTTTTTTTCAGTTTCAAATAGTGTTCCTTACACTTTTTCAGGTGCATTAATCATTACAATATTTTCATGCATTTTCAATGAATACAAACACTAATACTGTAATTTAAAATGAGAACCATATCATGAACAAGTCCATTGTATAACACAAAACCATGCAGAGGCAAAATAATATACAGGTACCTATTCTTTCAAAGATGCTCTGTATAATGATTTTCATGCATGACTTGATTTTTTCAATATTGTCTCAAATTTAATTTTTCTGCCTCAGATTTCAATTACTTTATGCCTCATTATGCATTGTATTTGAATATTGAATTTGCTTCGAGGGATTGTTTAGAGTTTTTGAGACACTATACATGCCCTATATGTCCATAATGATGCAGTCATTTGTTAAAGGGTGTGACATATCCTTCAATGCATGCCATGTTGGCACGTTGGGTGCCTCCATTTGAGCGCAACAAGTTCTCCACCTTTGTGTACACTGGAGCCCAGGTTGGCACCATCATCACCATGCCTCTGGTGGGGATCCTGACCACAAGCTTTGGCTGGGAATCAGTGTTCTATGTCATTGGAACTGGGGCCCTTTTGTGGGGCATATGTTGGATGCTGTTGGTCTATGACACCCCTGAGGAACACCCTAGGATCACAGCCAAAGAGCTCAAGTACATTCATGATGGCATTGGTGCTGGTCATGAAAGAGGCAAGGTATGAAATTAGTGTGATTTCTGTATTTGTGCTTGAATTCCTATTTCCTGCTTTGAGGAAAAAGTCGATTTTCTCAAAACTCCTATATGATATAGATTTTAGGCATGCTCATTGAAATGCTTGGAAACTGCATAAAAATCAAAGAAGATATTAGCCCTCACATTTCATTAATGCTATTTTTACACCCTATAGAATTTTTTAAAGAATAGAAAATAATGTGTACTGCATGACCAATTCTCAAAGTGAGTAGGAAAATTTCCCTTCAAGAATGAAAGCAATGATAAGCTTAGGATTAAGATATAACTGAATCAAAAGATATCCAAATGTTTGAATCTATACATGTATTTCATAAATTGTATTTGAATCCTGATGTATTTTTGAAACAGGCTTTGCCAGTACCCTGGGGACAAATGTTGAGATCAAAGCCTTTCTGGGCATTAATTTTGGTGAGTATGTCAACAAACTGGGGTTTTTGGCTGTTACTCACAGAGTTGCCAACATATCTGAGGAACATCCTTCATTATGACATCAAAAAGGTTTGTTATCCACTTTTTAAATAAGAAAAACTACGATTGATAAAATATGTGCTTTCCATTCATTTTTCAGAATGGATTTGTATCTGCTCTACCCTATTTCTCCATGTGGACAACAAGTTTGGTGTTGAGTACAGTTTCTGATCATTTCAGAAAGAAAGGGACTTACTCTTTCACTACCATCAGGAATATCAATAACTCCATTGGTAATAATGATAATAATAATAAAAATATTAAAATATAGGGGTCCTTTTGGTTCTGAAAACAATTGAGCTGATGCTTGGATACCCCTGATATTCTCAGCCCACTTTGGACCAGCCATTTGCTTTGTGTCACTCATATTTGCTGGATGCAATGAGTATTTGTCTTTGGCCCTGCTGATTGCTGCAGGCACAATGCAAGCAGGATTCTGGCCTGGTACTATAACAAACCACTTGGATCTTGCACCCAATTTTGCAGGTTTGAAAATTATTTATTACTGAATGAATAGAAAATAAATTTTCAGATTTATTTCCAGGGACTCTGTTTGGGATTACCAACTGTATAGCCTCATTTCCCTCATTCATTGCCCCTTTGACAACTGGGATGTTCATCGAGGGCGAGGTTAGTAGCGACACCTGCTTCTTTATTTATCAGAATTCCAGATTTTAGTTGACGTTCGCTCCGCTTGGTTTCGCTCCGATCAACAGCAAAACCTGAAGAACTGGGCGAAGGTATTTTGGCTCGCAGCTGGGATCAATGTTGTGGGCAACGGGATTTTTCTGGCCTTCGGCAGCAGTGAAGAAGCTACATGGAACCGACCTCGGATGACCCACGATGACCCCAAAAATGGAGGACTTCCTGAGCCAGAGTCTCAGGTCAGACTAGTGTCTGATTTCTCAAATCCGGCTTTTGTGAACCTGGATGATGACTTGGCAGAGTACAGTCATGAGCCAGTCACAGAGCCCAGTTCCAGAAATCGGTCGGAAATTGTTTTCAGCCTGTGAAATCTGTGTTCTAATGATGAGCAGGAAATGAACTAATTGTTGGAAAAGAAAATATTTTTTTATTGGCACACAAAACACAAGAGTTGGTTCATATAATGGTTGACTGTCAGACTTGATTTTCACAAGTAAGTTCAATGACTTTGACTGAGAAACTTGGATATACTGTAATCAAATAAAGTTATTAAATGATTCAATGCATTTCCAAACAAATTTAAACCAGCACCTTTGCTAAAGAAGTAATGAAGAGAGACATAAATAAATTATTAATTCAAAGCTTGTGGCTGGTTGACAGTTCCTCCTGCTCTGATCCATCCAGATGCATAACTGAAATAGACAAAAGTCAAGTTGAATATCAGTCAAGGTTTTTGGTCAAATATACACAGCTTTAATCATAATCTGACCTTGTTTGACCAGTTTACCCCTCAGGGCAATGACTTCAATCTCCACTTTTGCCCCAATTGGTAAGTTGGAGACTTGGAAGCAGGATCTTGCTGGAGGCAATTGAGGAAAAAATTTCCCATAAACTCCATTCACCACCTGTGGTATTCAAACAAAAGAGTCATGTGCTGAGGAAAAATATTTCCTGGATAGTGAAAAAATTTAAACCTTTGTTCTTGTGATTGGATTCATATATAGTGCTTGAAAAAAGCTATCAACACAATTTGGCACATCATGACACAGATTACATTTCTCTTAGAGGTTTTTTTTTAGAAGAATATGAATTTTCAGAATTGAAATACTATCTGAAAAGGCAAACCTTTATGTCAGCAATGTCTGTCAGCCAGACAGTAGCTTTGACCACATTTTCCAAAGAAATCCCACATTGAGTCCCATGAAGAATGTCTTTGATATTTTTCAAGGCCTGTGCTGCCTGTTCAGCCACATCAGCTGACACAAATTTGCCTGTAATGGGATCTGTTCCAACTGCCCCAGATAAGAAAACCAAATCTGGTGTCACCACTGCTTGGCTCAAATGGGCCACATACTCTCCATCAGGATGCTCTGCTGTTTTTGGGGGATTGATCACCACCACTGTTTTCACTTGTTCTTCCATAATAACCTGCTGAAAAGCTCCACAGATAAACAATTCGGATGATAAGCAGCCAAAAACATATACATTTTTTTACTCTTGAAAATTATTCAGATTGATGGTTCAAAGTTTTGCCAGTACATTAGAAGGACTTTTATCAAAAACGAAATATTTCACCATCCTTCAAACATTCCAGAAGCCAGAAATGCGCCCTACAGTATTTTGAGCAGCTCATAATAGATAGTGAAGATCTGAGTCAAAATTCTGAGTCAGAATTCTCCTAAAATGAGTTACATCAACTGCAAGACTTGAATGAAGCATCTGCTCTTCATGTGCTGGGGATTTTTCAACTTGGTGCTCTGATCAAGCACAATATTTTCCTCAACACTTTAAACTTGAGAACATCCACAAAACTAAAAAACTGCTTGGATGAGAAGAATTCAGCACTGGTGCACTGGTTGCATAAGATTCACTGAAATTTGTACTTGGAAGGAAATAATAGAAAATGTTGGTTGCACATTAATCCCTTGAAACTTGAAAAACCAAGTTCCTCTTATTATAGTGATGGGGCCCACTTTCAAATACATGTCATTCCTCTCATTCTCTTCAATCCCTTGGATAACAAAAAATTGAGAACACTTCACTGTAATTTTCAAAAATTCTATGAATGATTATTATTATTATTATTGAAAAATCACATTTTGTAGCATCTGCTAAGTAACTGCTAGAAAAAGAACCTGAATGTATACACAAATAAGGCTGAATCAAAAATTATGAACCAGCACTCCTATATAACCATTAGAAATGCTTTGGCTCAAGAGAGGGAACCCATGGAACTGGCTTAGAGAGGAACAAAGATGCCAGGTTTTACTGGATGGATGCTGCTTGCATAAGCACCTAGCTGTTTTAATGCATCTCATGTTTCTCAAGCAGTCTCAGGGTCAGGGAATGGAATCTTCTCATCAACAAGCATGAGTTATGCTCTATAGTCTATATGCTTATAAGGCAGGTAAAAAAAAAATTAAATGCATGTACTGTATATACAGGAAACAGTTTATTGAACCAAGCCTTCAGGTAAAACAGTATTTTCTGAAACATAAAGTAATCAGACACATGAAGCGTAATATATCAAACTACTACATTTTTGGCAAAACTATGCAAAACATAAATGATATAAGCATCATGCAGATATTTGTAGGATCCTTGGCAGCATATTTTCCAGCAATTGATTTTAAAGGATCTTCATTGGTCCTTGGATTGATTTCTGTAATATTTCTTCCTTGCATGTCATCTGATGAATAATTTGAAAGATAAACACTTTTTCAATGAAAATGTGGGGCACTTTTCAAACATACCTTCAGGTTGAGCAGGAGGCTTGTCTGTTTTTGCAGCATTCAGGTGATTCTGTTCAAGCAGAGAAACATATACTGTAGTTGAATCATACATCACTTGAATAAAATTAAACTTTGAACTCACTGTTAATGGCAAGTATGGTGGGATGTTGCTCAGGTCCTGATTGCTCACTTCAAAAGCCATTGAGTCCACCCATGGACCTAACTTGGCCTCCAAGAACAACACGTCAACATCCCTGAAATCCTGTAGACTACCCAATACAAGTATGGTGGGATGTTGCTCAGGTCCTGATTGCTCACTTCAAAAGCCATTGAGTCCACCCATGGACCTAACTTTGCCTCCAAGAACAACACGTCAACATCCCTGAAATCCTGTTGACTACCCAATATCGCCAAGTTTGATACCAAGGTTGTTCCATCACTGGAACAATGCAAGAATCAATATCAAACTGTTCGCATTTCAGTTCAAATGTAAAAGTGTTTCAAGTTACTCAAACATAAATATTTATTTCATTTTTTTAGATTTTTGTGGCAGAATCTACAGAAACTTACCGGTCAGAGGTAAATTCAGGCACAAAAGCAGTGCCATTACGAAATTTCCCATGAACTTTCAAAGTAAATTCATGCTTCTGGAAATCTACTTGTTCAGACACTGGAGAAAAAATGCTGGCTGTCCTTGTAGTCAAGATGAGAAAATAAGCATCCTTGCCTCCATTTTTTGCAGGAATATGGACTGGCTTTGGAGGATCCAAGTTTGCTGGGATTTTGACATACCCAAATGGCCTCTAAGTGTGTACACACTATTTATAATACTTTAAGGCATATTCCAATAATTTTCAACTCACTTTGACCACATTGCACCAAATACTGAAATAATTGTACTTGGAAATTGTATCTCCATTTGGCAGCCTCACAATTAAATCTTCATTTTTGTAGGCCCTTGGGACAAATTTTGTTGAGAACTCCCTTAAATAGATACAAAATTTGTATCATCATCAATTGGAGAAATTCAAGATTATCTTCATGCAGCAGGAATAAACTCACTTATTGTCAGCGAAATATTCAGCAACAATGGAGTTGATGGACGGCTCTTCTCCTTTTCCAACTCGGAACTCAGTCGCTACATAAATGCATGATATATTTTCATGCATTTTAGCCTAATTCTTAGAAAATACTGAAATGTGTTTAATTGTATGTCTACAAAGTTCTGTGAAAGTTATATTATTGATTAAACTACTATTCAGCCTAGTAAATCAAGGCAATGTAAGAGTCCAATCAAAATGTTGCAGAATTCACTCACCAGGAGCTCTTCCATCATAGGAAAATTTTTTGATGAGGAATGTACTTTCATCAATGACATACACATTTCCTGTAAGTCCATGGTTGCTTCTGTCCAAAATGAATGCCCCTAGATTCACCCCATACTTTTCCTGTGCCACTTGAGAAAATAAAAATGATGAAAACAAAATTTGAGAATGTATATTATTTCAGGCAGACTTGCTTATACTAACCTGCAAGTGTGTTTCCCAAGAAAATAATTTTGAAGAGGGTGGTGAACAAAAGAAAATATAACTCTTTTACAATAATAGATTCCATTTTTGCAACAACCAAAACCAAACAAAATTTGAAGCCTCACTGATGGCGTCAGCACCCTGAGTAATATTTTCTTTGCTCTGCTGATGCACTGGACATTTGAAGTCAGAGGACTACTGAAGATTAGATAAGAAAGAAAGAATGACAGCGTTCCTGTTCTGGGAAGGAAACCAAAAATTTACTGAAAAACATTTACATCCAGCATATGTAAAACTTGGTGGTAATCAGCTCTAACATGAGCTATACTTTACTGTATATATAATGTCTAAATAATAAATCTATAGAGTCTTTTATTTCCATCAGGAATTGATTTATGATATAAACTGTATTTTCTGTTTAATTTAAATTTAGTGAACTAGTTTCTGTGAACTTTGGCGTGTTTTTTAGAGTTGATGCTTCCACATTTAGTATAAAATAAAAATTCTCAGCTGACAATCATGAAGGCTTGCGCAGCTATATTTGCACAAAATGCAACAGGTTCATTGAAATCACACATAGAAAAGCTTACAGCCTATCGCTTTGAAACAGATGTAGCATCATTTTCTTGAATTTAGTAGTTTGATCTGCATTTTTTTTTTATCTTACTTGTCTTATTGTGAAGTCACATTATGAACACAGCAGGATCCTACCCTCGCTTTTTGAATGTTTTCAGAATTATGGCGCAATAATCAGGTCATACTATGCAACGTAATCAAAAATTAGCCTCATTGTCAGTTATTGTTGCATCATTCTTTGGCGACATTCCCTGAATGGAAGGGCCAAAATTTGAGCTTTCCAAGAATTATGAAAGACTTTACAGAGTATAATGAATAATTCCCGGAAATTTTACGCAGTATTGTATAAAAATGTACAGTACTTCAATTTTCTTGAACGTCAAAGCAAAATTACTGTAAACACAACCATTTTTCTTATTGAAATTTCCTTGCGAAATTTTACATTTTAGAATGTTTTGGCATAGAATCGGCTTGTAGGCATGATATCATTTACAGTATATCAGTATTCTCTGATTTACAAAACAATGTAAAATACTGTATGAGTTAAGACAGTCGGTAGGATTCAGAATCAAAACCTTTGATGAAATCGCTCAGCTCAATTTTGTTCAACTCTCCCACCCTTCTTGAACCGGTGAGCATGGAATTGCCGGCCGCCACGTATTCGCTCGACTGCAAGCGGAAGTTGTTGAAGTTAAGGCTTACACCTTACAAGTCCATAAAATTGTGGACGCGCAATTGCTGGAGCTACTTAGTTGGTGTAAAAAAATTATTAGGTCAGCTGTAGATAACAGATTTTCGTGGTCGATGGGCACTGGTGAAAGGTGTTTGTGTGAATATCATTTGACGTTACTTGGGCGGTGTTTTTGATGCATGTAGTTCGAGAATGGAAACCGCGTGCGAATGTGTTACGCACACGAAGTCGATGCGTCCGATAGTGTTCGAATGAGCTGTTCTGATGGTCTCACGATTGAATTCTTTCGATTAACTTTCCGAACGTCAAGGTAGGTGCTCTTAAGTTACCCAAGATAAGTTGCGGTACATTCGGTCTCAGCCGTGAAATTCGCGTCAAGCCGGGTTAGATTTCCATGTATATGTTTCGAAAGGACTATCTCACAAAAAATGTTTGTGTGCGTTCAGTAGGAAGACCGCTTCGTTTCCCATCGCGCTCATTGCGAAGCTCTTGAAATTTGTGAAAGTGTGCGCTCAATTGACGTGAAGAAACTCGCACGATGATGTATCAAATTGCATCCTCAGTTTCCGAGGTGAACCTAATGCGTTATTTTCCAGGCTCGAAACTCTTTTCGCGTTCAAAATTCGCGAAGTGACCGCCAATGTGGATTCGCCGTGTCGAGTGACTTGCGTTTGAAAATTTCTGTCATCGGGGGCTAGGAGTGTCCCTGTATTGCACAGCTACGGCGCCTTCGCGGCGTATATATTTGGATCGATTGAGTGCCTTCAACTGAGCTCCGCATCAGTTGTGAGATCATGGCATCTCAGACAGGTATGTTCCATCTTCGTGCATGCTTTTGCAGCGCCATCGTTAATGAGGCTCACTTAATTTTTTTGATACTGCTCGTGAATGTGTTATCAGCTAAAGCTCTTCGACACTTTTGAAAGAAGGCAGAATTCTAACTTACAGTCCTCTGAATAGAAACTGAAAACGGTCCAGTTACAGTACAGACCTAATTTTAATCCGAAGATTGCGTAGGTCATGGAAAGATAAAGCATTTCACCTGAAAATCTAAGTCGCCGTCTGTATCTATATAAGAGCCACTTTTCTTATATAGGCAAAAATTTATTCTTGAATTTCGGTGGAAATGACGTATCATTGAATGTTTTCATTCGGCTTATAGGAAAAAAGAGTAAGAAGAAGAACGTAAAAACCGTTCCGCTGACCGAGTTTTTACACAGCGACGATCAAGCAGGCGGTAAAAATGTCGTCAGAGCGGTTAAAGACACCCCGTCTAGCAATTGGGCTGACGAAATGGAAGAATTCGACCGTGAGTTTTTTTCTTCAAGTTTCTCAGGGAATGACGATTTTCCCACGTTGAGCGTGATGTTTCATCGCACATTTCAGCTACACCCGTGGAAACATTTGTGCTTCCGTCTGCCCCGAAGGCATCTCGAGGCGTAGACATAGACTTGAGCACATTACCACCGAATGGGCCCTACACTGTGCACGTATCTAATTTGGCGTACGACTTGGAGGACTCTGACGTCGAGCAGTTCTTCAATGAGCAAAAGGTGGCTTCCATTCGTCTCATGAGAGACGAAAGTCGAAGGCTCAAAGGTCACGGTTATGTGGATTTCGAGACCGTGGATTCTCTCGTCGAGGCCTTGGCCATGCATGAGAAAGTGAGTCCGACTCCTTGATTTTCGTTTGATTGGAATGATTTTGATTGCAATTGTTTGTGTTTTGCAGCAATTGAAGTCTCGGGCGATTAGAATCGAACTTGTCACTGGGACTGAACGTAGTGGAGGACGTGGTGGACGAGACCGAAATGACCGGGATCGTGACCGGGATCGCGATCCTGACCGCACAACCGGTGATTGGCGTGCTATGAAGGATCGACCTGTCATGAGCGATCGTGGGGGAGATCGTGGTGGCGATCGGGGCGGTGATCGGGGCTACCGAAACGGTTTGTATTTCTAGTATGAATCATTCGACGATTTTAATGTTTGTAAGCATTCACAAGTCTCTTCATTGTTTGCGTCTCTCGTTTGATGGGTAGCAATTGGAGTAGCTTCTGCAGGATTTCATTTGATTTTCTGACCAGTGTCCAAAGCTGAAATGGAGGCAATTTCACGACATTACGGCTAAGGAATAATTAGTCGTTTTGTGTACCGTTGAACCCTGATAACTGAAATCTCACCGAGTCGAGCACATGCTTATGTCGAAATTTTTCCAAGTCCTGATCTGAATTCCCATGGAAATCATACGTTAAAAATCATCTCCCTGACTCGACAGCTTTTTCTCTCAAATTTCCTTAACTGGAATTTTCTGGGGCCTTTTGGCTATTATTTTCTTGGCACAGGAAAGAGGAAAGCGAGGAAAAATTAACTTGTGTTTTCAAAGAAAGTTGAAGTTTAATTGGGCAAATGAACCCTTGCCTCCAAGTTCAGTATCTTGACAACGTTCTCATCAAATGACCCAAGTATTGATTCTGAATGAAATTACGCTGGGTATCAAGTATCGAAAATGCAAGCATTAAACAGAAAGTCGCTGAAAATTCTATCTATATCTCGATGCTAACACTTGAAGTATCAACCAGCTTTCTTGGAGTACATGTCCTTTTGTGAACTGCCTTTCTTGAAAATCGGCCTTCTTTTAATTCTATATCCAGGCCCATCTGACTACGACTCCGGACGGGATTATAACCGGGGTGGGGATTCTGGATTCGGCCGCGGAGGAGGAGGAGGTGGTGGGTTCAGAGATCGCGGGGATCGGGACCGGGATCGTGGGTACGATCGTGAGCCTCGTCGGGACACGGATTCCGATTGGCACGCTGGCCGTGGGCCACGGGACATGGACGACCGACGTATGGACGATCGACGCATGGATGACCGACGTATGGACGACCGTCGAGGCATGAATCGGTCGCGGAATTTTAATTCGTACGATTCGAGGAAAAACCGCTACGACGAACCTCCAGGTAAATGCGATTGTCGTTTCTTGAGTGTAAAGCTTCAACAGTTTTGTTCTGCGATAGGTTTTTTTTTCTTTCTTTTTTGCGGGATTGAGTGTAGGAATTTCTAGTCCTGGGTAATCGCTGGTGGGAAATGGAAGGGCGTTACGCAGTCGGACGATATCAACGAATCGTTATTTGTATCGTGCTGTTCTCATCAACGTTTTTATGAATCAGTTCATCGCCACTTTTGCACTAACTCGATGGATCCTCTTCGTATAGTGTGTCGGGACGTTCCTTTTGATGAGAACTCCGTTTCATGAAATGAGTGAATGGTATTTTCGTCTTCTGCTTCTGGTGCAGTAGTGATCGTCGAAAACTTGAGCCAGGATTGTGATTTATATTTGTGGAGTTGGACGAAGTTCCAGAAATACTGTACTTGTAAACTTGAAGATTTCTAGAGGATTGATTCAGGATGATTTCCAAGACCTTGATCGACGCAATTACTGTAGAAGCATTTTCCTTCCGAATGTTGTGAATTGAATTTGTTTCAAGGTACCGAAAATTTTTCCTTTGATGAAGATTTTCGCAGATGAACTGTTTTAAATTTTGTAGTACAGTAAATCGCTGTGCTCGACCCTCTTGTTGAGCCAACTTTCTTTTAATTGTTCAATTCCGCTCCTTCTGTACTCAATACTGCAAATTGTTCGATTTTCCGCTCCTGCTGTATTCAGTAAACTCTCATCCAGTAATTTCATGTACGGGTTTTCCCGCATTTATTTTTCCTGGAAGTTTAATCTTATGAGTTGTATGTATTTTTCTTGTGGGCACGATTGGAAATCCGGCAGATTTGGTTATTGATACAATTATTGAGCTTTTGCTCTTGCAGCACATACAAACTTCATCGTGGTGCAATTTGATGGGTCACACACAAGCTTGAAATAATGTGGATTTCTCATTTGTGAAAGTCTGCAACCTTTTTCTTGGCGTTAGTTTTCGATGGATTCGGAGAGAATTGCATCTAACCTATGGTTTTCTATTGTCTAAAACTAAACAAACTTGTTCGTGTTTTCTCAAGGATTTGAGCGAAGAGGAGGTCCTGGAAGTCGTGGGGGCAGAAGAGATGACTGGTCACACGACAGGGACAGGGATGCGGAAAGAGGGCCAGGTTCTTCCCGGCCATATTCCCGCGGGGATTCTGGGGAACGAGAGCGTCCCAGCACACCGAAGGATGAACCAGATGCCGGCCAAGAGGCTAAAGCTGGTGAGTCAATCCGTTTCTTCTTTTTTTTTTCTCTCCCGTCAAATATTTTCTTTTCGTGGTTCCTTGTGTTTTTGCTGTCGAGAACTAAGTTTTGCGTTTTTGATGTGAAGTAGAAAGTGATGCGCTTCTCGTTGTGAGTTCACGGACTGGAAGTGAAATGTGGCTTCGGATAACTTCTGAATTTTGAATGCTCGTGGATTTTTAAGTATTTTGAAAAAGAAATTTTATGGCAATGACGCTGTGCTAGTTGTCAGATGCTCTCACGTATTACAATGTAAAGTGGAACCTCTTCAAGTCGAACTTCAAGGGGACCCACAAACAAATTTTGAGTGAGAGAAACAAGCATATTTATTGGGGAAAATTACGAAAATCGTAATATTCAAGGCCTAAAATTGCTTCTTGGATGAGTTGACAGGATGCTGAACTAGGAAGCAATGATACATTTTCCCAATAAATCTCTCACTTGCTTTCGAAACACACCATGTTACATTTTTTATTGCTTTTCTCGTGCGTGTATCAATGAAATAATGGCTAAAAGGCCTCCAGAAAATTCGAATCATAGAGGCTTGAGGATGAAAGTCTTCGAGTTATGAAGGCTTTTAATATTTAATTCATTTTTCTTTAGGAAATTCAGATGGGGACTTCGAGTTCGAGTTTCAAGGTTCAACAGTATTTATTCCAGGAACTGTCCATTTGCTTTGAATTCATCCTGAACAACAGGAAAACGATTTGTGTATTGAGTCAATGTTTTTTTCTTCATTGAATGCCTGTCTTTTTTTTTTTTACCACTTTTCATGGGAAGTTATGCTGGAATTTCTGGAAATATTTTATCGTTTTCTGTCGTAAGTTTAAAAGTAATTTTCATTTATTTTTCGATGTTTCAGAGCCAACGAAGGAACGACGAAGGATTCAGTTGCTGCCGCGGTCGCTTCCAGTGGCGGACGATGACGAAGCAGCCCGGTTGAAGGCGTCCTCGATATTCGGAGGCGCCAAGCCAGTGGACACGGCGGCGAAAGAACGCGAAATTGAAGAACGACTGCGACGGGAAGCTGAAGAGAAGCAGGCTCGCGAGTCTGAGAAACAGCAACAGGATCAGGGCCCGCCGTCTTCGCAGCCCAGGGCTTGGAACAGGTCTGCGATCTTGTAGATGCTTCTAGAAAATTTTATTGTTGTTTTTGCGATTTTCACTTGATTTTAGTTGGAGAATTCACACGGTAATTTTTATTTATTGCTTTTTTTTAAAATCAAGACTACCTGAATAAGTTATGGTATTTGTGTTGAAGGGAAGAAGGGTGAAAATTTCTGGTATTATTGCAAACTGAAGTATTTTACGTCTGGGAAAGGAAATGTTTTTCTTTTCCGGAGAATTATTCTGTAAAAATTCTGTTCATGGTAGGCGAGAAAGTTTGGAAAAATATAATTTCAACACATAGTTCACCTTTTGGAAATGAGAGGAAATTTGCTTGGCCTCAGTGAAATAGTTCTGAACGTATACTGAAATGATACAATTTGTCCAATATTCCCAAGAAGGTGAGACAGACTGAAATAAATGGAATTGATATTCATACAGTATCTCATCGATGTCGACTACAGTAAAATCTCGTTACAACGAAGCCATTGGGACCAGTAAAATAGCTTTGTTGTAATGAAAAATCCGTTATGAAGAAACTCATTTAATGTTGTGGTTATTGGGGAGGGGCCGAAACAACGGCTTTGTTTTGAGCGAGTATTCGGTATAACGAGGTTCGTTGTAATGCGTTTCTACTGTATTTTACACCTGGAAAAAATTATTCGATTTTCTGGGTAAATTCAGTGCAAATCCATTGGACACTGGAGCTTTAAAAAATGTTTTTCCTCAGGGTATCACAATTTCCTCCCCTTGCGTGTCCTCATTTTGACGAGCAATGATCATTTTTATCTGACGATGCCAATTTTCCTTGCATCCGACGCGAATCCCATTCCCCAAATAGTCTGAAAGGTATTATTATTCTCCTCTCTCAGGCGCTGAAAAATTGTTGTTGGTTCTGATGATGCCAGATTTTTCCCCATCTTTTGACACAAATTACATTCTGATTTTACAGTTACACGAAATATTCACGTCTTTGTTTACTTGCGACTCATAAATCAACATTTTCGAAGATCTTAATTATTTGGTTTAATTTGGTTTTTTTTAATTTGACGAAGGCATTTTACGTCAATTTTTGTTGTCAGTGCTCAAGTTTTCAACTACAATGTGTGTACAGTCAATTCCACTTAATTTCTTTATAAAAATAATGTCTCTTTCCTATTCTTTTGAATGTCTATGAACGGCTTTTACACGTTGAAGAATGTTTTGGGTGATGGAAATATTTTGTTTTTCTTGTGGTTGTGGTGGAAAAGATTCGAGCCGGTCCGCCGTGGAAGCCGTGAGTTTACCGCAAGTAACACTTTCGGACGACGCAATGAACGAAAAAGGTGGCGGTTCTGGTTTTCTCGTTCTACGTTTTCTTTTTGTCGTTGTTTTAATTTGGATTGTTCCATTTAATTTTTCATCGTGGCTTGTTTTCCTGCGCGAAATGAGTTGAGTTCATGATAATGGGGTGCATGATGGTTGACTATAGTTTTTCAGAAATTCTTTTGTTTCCATAGTTTCAATAGGGTGAGTCGAAAAGTTATGCTCGAATTTTAACGGTAATTTTGATAAAAACCATTTCTGCGGGTGTTTTGAAACTGCTGTTGGCAGATCCAGGTTGATACTGCCGTTTTCGCGTGAAGAAAAGGTGTCTTTGGAAAGCAGAGTTTTTCATGTTTTTGAAATTCATCCATCCTTTCCGAATTAAAATTGTGGATCACTGATGATGAAATAATTTCAAAAAATATTCTGAAACGCGAAAAAAACTCGGAAAAATATGATTCTCTGTAAGATTGAAACATTTATGGCAGCAGCTTCGATTTATACTGAATTTCAGGAACCCTTGGACCTTTTATGAGAACAGCGAGATTAATGAGGATGAGTTACATTTTTTCGTATAAAAATTAAGAGAAATTAAATCATCGTTTGCCAAGTTTGTAGGAGTAGCACAACTCTTGAGCATGCAAGTGCGGAGTGAATTGAGACAAAATTAAAATTATTTCGCTCGGCAAAAATTTTGGATAATTTTGGACTCACCCACGTATTTTAAGGCATATTTCTTAATCACTTGAATGGGAAAAGAGAAAAAAAAAAACTCGCAGCGGTTCTCTTTTATGACGTGGAAGGACTCCGTAGAGAATCTTGTCAAGGCTGACTTTGAGTAGGACTGTTGAACTTCTCAAGTTCGTGTTTGCTGTGGACTGACACCTTTCCGAGAAGTTGATAGCGCTGATGTAATTTTAAACTACTGTACAGTACTGTACTTCGTATGGAGTTGAAAAACGTGGTTCGGAAACAATACTTTATTTTTAACTCTTGGCTTTTATTCATGCGTGTTTGTGGAGTAGACTTTGTTACAAATTTCTTGAAGGTCTTCGTATAATCAAGTGTTGAAAGAATAATAACCCGCACTTCATCCAGTGACGCCCTTAATCATCAATGGTTCATTTCAGTTTGGAAATGGAAATTTAAAGTTTGATCTGGAATTTGTGCAATAGTTTGAGTAAAAATGTCTCGGATTTTTAGGAGATGCAGCATGACGTGAGAATTTCGGCGAGAAAAAGGTGCGCGGTACATTTTCAATGAACAACTTCTGCTCGGAAATCGGACATCTTCTTTTTTATTATCACAATTGAACCTCGATGACTCGAATTTCCCGAAGTCGAATACTTCCAAATGTTGGACTTTTTGAAGTTTTTTTTAAAATAAAGTCGAAGACTAATTGGCAAAGTAACGCTTGCCTCCATGCTCAACACTCAGGGAAACTCATTCAAGAAGCAATTTAATGCCCAGTTCATCAACAATTTCAATTTCCTGTAATTAAGCTTTCTTTCCTTCTTCTTTTCCTTTCTTTCCTCGAAGTTCGACAGCGGGAAAACAAGCCAAACATTTGTTTTTGATCGTGATTTTCAGTATTGGAAATTCGGTTGGTTCCTGGTGCAGAATTAGGCATGCATGAAGACTCATGTTCAACTAAAACCCCGAGTTCATGCGTTGTAAATGAAAAACAAAGAAGAAAAAATCGGCTTAATTGATGTTTGGGTTTGTTTCTCAAGATCGGAGGACGAAGAGCAACGTCCGGGTTCATCGGCATCTGGCTCGGTGTCGTCCGTGCGCGGGAAGCAAGACGAGGTTGATCAGCACCAAGATCAGGAGCTTGACGACGCAACTCCAGCGCCGCCGCCGCAGCAGTCGCCACAGCCGCCTTCATCGACGTCGCATTTCAACGAGCCGCCTCAAGAACCGAGCGGTCCTCGCGCGTGGCGTCCCCAGTCTCGTGATCATCGGGAACGGGACAGCTATGACGCCCCTCGTGGCGGTGGTGGTTCTGATCGTCGTGGGAAACCAATGGGCGGTGGAGGAGGAGGAGCTGGAGGATTCGGCCGCGGATCAGGTGGTGGCGGCGGCGGCGGCGGAGGGCCACGAGGAGGAGGCGGCGGCGGCGGCCCTGGTGTTGGTGGGCCAAGACGAAGCGAGTTCCGACGACACGACGACGGCGAAACTCATTCGAGTAAGGAGAACGACGAATTTTGATTTTTGTTCATCTCTCTCTCTCTCTCTCTCTCTATCGCTTGTGGATATTTAGTTGCTACTGGAGGGAACCTATGTTGACTTCAAGAGTTTTTTTTCTTGGTGTGGACTCTTCGTTTTTATGAAATTTCATTCAAATTGTGTGTGTGTGTGTGTGTGTGTACAGTATTTAGTTCGGAAAAGATATTGCGTCTGAAAAATTGAGTCAGACCTTACCAGAAAAATTTAAAAACTTGACGTTTGGTCGCAAAAGGACCAAGTAACTTTTGGCTAAATCTCTAAGAGAGCAAAGCTGAGCTCTGCGGGTTAAAAAAAAAAAAAAATCGCTGAGGTGTCACCTGAATCGCTAACGTGAATGGAAAATAACCCAACTCTATTCTAACCATGCCTGGCTGACTCTGATTCAAACTAACCTGAAATGATGAAATTAGTATAAATTGCAACAAATTTTTGAGAGAAAGCGCAAGAACAGAACAGCGTGGGGACGAAAAGAGGTTTTGTAGCAATTCTACGATTAGAATGTGCTTCAAACGCGGGAAATCGAAGCATCAGTGTGTGTGTAGCTGCTGGAAAGTGATTGAAAGCGTTTCCGATTTTATTCATTTCAATTGTGAGGACTCATGGTACATAAATACCTGTATAATTACGTCAGTCGATTTTTTTTTCTTACGCACTTCCGTCCCTTGACTAATTGGACAGTGTTGAAAAACATGTGACGAGATTATTTAGTTGACGCCTTTGCAATCGCGAACAAAATCAACGAGTGTTTGGGGGAATCAAAATTGTAAATTTGAATATTTTAAACCTCGTCAAGATTCGCATTCGACGACCGGACATCAATTTGTCAAAATTGCGTCTTCGCTGATATGTTCATCACACTTGCTACATCTATTTTTGTTTCTGCGTTGTTTCGGTCCTTTGTGGACGTGCTTTTTTGTCATCGAGTTTTTAATACTGTAGTTATAATATATAGATTATTTTGGTTCAGTTCCCATCAAGTTAGAGTATGGCAGGTCGATTTCGGGGTTTTTTGCGTGATTTTCATCAGCGATTGTTGGACTGGAAACATCGGGCGACATTCCGTGGAGCAAGATTGCCGTTTTTTCAGTGGGAAGAATTTAATTTTTCATGAAAATGTAACTTGAATGAGTGGTTCGCTTACATTTATTTTGATCATCGAAAGGGGGTGAAATTCACGAACATGAATTCGTGTTCAGCATCTTTCTATGCATGCAGCAGTAGTAATACATTCGAAATTTTTCAAGAGTTCTTAAGAAAGTATGAACGCTAGAAGCAGGATACCTAATTTTTTTCTTCTTCGTCTTTTTGAATAGATGCGCTGAATTTAGTTTAAATTTTTTTCGCATTGCGCTACGCAAAACAAAAGCTTTGTGTATGAAAATCCATCTTTTTGCGCGAGAATTTTTTCTTTTGATTGATCAGAAGTTCCTTTTTTTCTATTTTTTCCTCTTTAACTTCCTGTTCTAAACTTGGTTTTCTTTTTAGTGAATCTGAGAGACGTTCAACGCGGGCACTCCGTAAGGTCGCCGACTTCTCCGCAGTCGGAAGAACCGCCGTTCCGATCGAACTTGTCAGGCGGGGCGCCGACGAAGCAACGGGATCCACCGGAGAATCTCGTCGAGGCGCCTGCACCGGCGGTCAATGTGTGGGTGAAGCGGATCGAGCAGCGTCAAGCCACCGAGCCGCCAACAAAGCAAGTGCCTGGCCCGAGTGAAGATCACCACCATCAGCAACAACCGCCTCGTCATCATCAGACTGCGTCGTCGCCGCCGCCGCCACCAGCAGCAGCGAAGAAGGTGGAAACGCAGCCGACGGCGCGGAAGGTTGAAGAACCAGCAGCTGCTGCTGCTTCGGCGGCGCCGCCGCCACCTTCCCCGGCGCCGGCGACAAGCGCTTGGGGCACGAGGAAGGCGTGGGCGACGGTGGCGGATCCGGTGACGTCGTCGTCGATACCGACAGTGTCGGCTGCTGCTAATGGAGCCATGGGTGACGGCGGCGGTGGTGGCAGTGGTAGTCGTCGATCTTCGTCGCAGAAGGCGGCTCCGACCCCAGCGCGACTGGGATTCGGACGCGGAAAGGCGAGTGGGGAAAATGTGCCGCCCGGAGGAGGAAATGGTGGTGGTGGTGGTGGAGGGACGCCGGAGGTCGGTGTCATGATGCCGTCTGCTGTGCCCATGGGCGCCTGGGCAACCCATCGCCTTAGTTCGAAAAAGGACGACGTGAGTTGTGCTTTTATTGGCGTTGAATTTTTAGGGGTTGAATCGAGTTTTTTGTTGTTGAGCGTTTTCGTTTCTCTTTTTTTTATTGCAGTCGAGCTTCTCTAATTCGAATTTCGAGGGACCATAAAAAAATCGACTCAAGGAGGTTTCTAGTTTGGGAAACAATCATACAGTATTTGTTTGGTGTTGGAGGGAAGAATTGCAGGAACTTGTAATTGGTGATGTTCTGGGCCAAAAATTGCTTTTTAAACGAGTTGAAAGGATGCTGAACTTGGAGGAACGGGTTCATTTGCCCAATTACTGCTGTCTTTTTAATTTCTTTCAAATTACTTCAAGTTAATTTGTATTGCTTTTCTCTTCCCTGTGTCAAGCGAATAAAAACCAAGAAAATTCGAGTCATGGGGGTTCAAGGGAAAAGCATTTGAGTCAGGAAGTTTTTCAAAGCATTGTTCCAAAGGGGATTCAGACGGGACTTATGAAAAATATCGATTTAGGGATGTTCGAGGTTCAACTGTATCAATTGTAAGTAGGCCTTCATTAATATTATTTTTCATTCGAAGGTCACCGTGATGACGAACAAGTTCGCCGGACTGTCGACGGAGTCGGACGACAGCATCAGCCACTGAAACCCCCCGCTGGAACGGATGCATCGACTGGGTTTCTTCCACCTGATGGAACATACCGTTCCTTAAGTAGCAAAGATGAAGCAGAAAAAGAAAACAAGAAGAAGAAAATCCTACAATTTTTTTTGTTTTGTTTTTTGCTTTTTTTTCAAGTGCGAATGGTTAAATCAATCAATCAATTGAATCGGTGGATCCACGAATCGACGAGGGGCCCGCGCAGGGTTTTTTTGTTTGTTTTTGTTTTGTTTTGAAAGACTTGAGAAATTGTGAGAAAGATTGAGGAGATGAGTTTGGGTGTAAATGAAAGTTGCGTGTGGATGCGAAAGTGGAAAGATGGGGTGGGTTCGGACCCAAGTGTGCGTTTTACGACCGTGCAAAAAAAGAAAAATAGTTTATTTCCCCGTGCCCGAATTGCGTTTCTCGAGATTTTATTCCAAGTCTCGCCCTCCAATATATCTTCTTTTTTTTTAAATCATGATTTTCCCCCGTTTCTCTTGTAAGGTTTCAACGGGTGAAGAGAATGCCTTTTTCGAGAATCGCTCCCGAATATCGTTTTCATTTCGGCTGTAGGATTGCTGTGCTTTTTTATTTTCTTTGCATCGAATTTTTGCGTCTCCGTTTGAAAGAAGTCATTCGATTGGGTTGTCGATCGAGGGGCATTTGCAAAGTCCTCGTCTTTGCGCCAAAAAGAAAGAGAAAAGGAGGAAATAATTCCTCGTTCATGTGGACGTCGTTGTTTTTCCTGCTAGAATATGAAGGATGTGCTCAATTTTTGGCTGGGGATTTTTATTTTTTTGCCAAAATTCCATGAGCGTAGTTTTTTTTGGCTTAGTAAAGAGGCACGGTTTGGTTGCTGAAGATCTATTGATCGTGTGTGGATGAATTCTTTTGATCAACGCAGTCGAAATGTATGGTTTTTTTGTTGTTGCTCGAAACTCATCAAAGTCAATAGGCTAGGCTTAAATTCTTTTTTACGCTTTGAGTAGCGAAACCTTTTTAGAATTCTCAGCGGTTTTCATCCAACAAAGTTTTTTGCTTCTTTTGCCAGCTCAGAACATTCGAAAGAAATTTCTTTTACGAAAAATTTTAACTTTTAATGGACGCATTTTCTTGACTGATCGAAATTACAGATTCCAGGAATCACTTGATATTTTCTTGAATCAAGCGTCGAAGTGCGAAGCATTCAAGAGTCCAGTTTGCTTTTTTTCGTCAGTTCTAAAAAAAATTAAATAAAAGAGGAATTTGAGCGAGTCGGAGCAATTTAATTTTGTTGGTTGGATGGTTCATTCGGACGCTTCTCAATTTTTAGTAGGCATATTTCCACCATTGAAAAAAAAAATCCCTGGGGATTTCTCCTAGATTTTTTTTGCGCGAAAGATGGAGGACTTTTTGAGTGCCCCATATCCGCTCTCAGAAAAAAAAACTGCCCCCACAATTTTTTTTTCGGAATCCATCGCGGGAGAAAAACGCCTGTGATCACACGCGTCCTCCTGACATTATTCTCTAGGAAAGTGTGATCTCTGGGGTGGGGGAAAAAATGGGAGAAAGAAGACGAAGATACGACGATATTTCCGGCGATGGGAAGCGGAGAAAGAGAGAGGAAGAAAAAAACGTTGCTGTGAGAATTTTTGCGAGTTAAATTGGAGCGAAATGAGATGGACGGAAGAAAGAAATCGAAAAATTACAAAAAATGCTAGAAACTGGAGAAAAAAACAGCAAAACACGAATTTTTTGTCCCGCAGGAAACGCGCCCAAAAAAAATAGCAAAAAATGTTTTTTTTTGCAAAAGCGAAAGAGAGAAACGAGACTCGCGGTTTTTTTGTTTTTGTGTTGGGGGTGCAATGGAACAAGAACTTGAAAGAAAAAAAAAACAAGAATAGTGTGTAATTCAATTCGGTTTCTTCCTTCATCTTCCCAACAAAAGAAAAGAACGCCTATCTCGAAACCGTTGAAGACGGGAAAGATTTTTGGTTGCTTTTTTCTTTTTTCAAAAATCGAAACACGTTCGGGCTGGTTTTGTATTAATTTGGCTTTTCATTTCTTTGTTGAAAAGTAAGTGGTTCTTTTTTCTCCTGAGGAAAAAACGTCGGGGGGAGACGAAGAAATTTTGGAATTTTTGTTGCGTTTTTTCGTCGGAAAACGTGGAACCCGGAAGTTGTTCTATTTTTCTCCCGTCTTCAGAATTATTTCGATTCTCTTCTGTCTGCTTTCAAAATTTTTCCCTCTGTGTCTTCTCTTGATCTTGTTTTTTTTTTGCATGGAGCTGATTTGATGTGTGGTGGGGGATTAAGGTAAAACAGAAAAAAGCAGAGGGAATTCGAAGGTCTTCACGGGAGTGAAAATTTTTTGGGCCGCATGGGATCGAAGGCCTCCTTTCGAGCCCCGCTCTGGTTGGGCAACTTTGACCCAGCTTGGACAAGATGGAATAAAAACATCGCTTTTGTTCCGAAGGAATTCTTGTGCTCCTCTTGTTTTAAATTTCGGTTTTTACTACGCGGAATCCAATTGATACTGTTAATGAAATAATAATAAAAACTCTTTTCAGATGTACTGATGATCATGGGAAAACCTGCAAGACTCATCTATAGCCATGTCAGAAATTATGGAAATGCTAGGATTCTCTGCAGACAATATACAGGTGAGCTCTCTGCACAATTGAATTCAAGGGACCAAAAAAAAAATGTGTTGTAGAAAACCCCTGTTATGTGGGGAGAGTACCCTCTGTTTCCTATGACAAAGAAAAATTTGTAGATGAGAGATTCCACCTGTTCAGGATCATTTTGGACACAGACAAATGTTTTTGATTTGATATTCAAATACTGTGTCATGGAGGATTGGATACTGTGATGGTACAATTCTGTGAAGGAAAGGCATTACAAATGGGAGGAAGCATCCATTATAGGAAGTAAAAAAGATTTTTTGAACTCATGTAACTTTGAGGGTGAATTTCCTAGCTGTAGCAGAAGCCTGAACACAATTTAATGACAAGAAATTGGTTGTAATGAGATTCTACTGCTATATTAGATGTGTCCAATGAAAGTGGGAGAAAGATAATTGTGCAGACTTCATATCACTGATACATCATGTTCATGGAATTCCAGTTGTCATGAGACAATAAAATAATGTGAGGCAAACACTCTACAGCCATAGGATATAAATTTCACACGCAATACTGTACTGTTTTTTCCTTTCAATTGCACAATACCCACTTTAGATTTTTCCCCATCATAATTAATCTTGTAATTGCAGGCATTTGACATTGACTAAAATTTATCTTTGCTAAAAGTTTGATATTACTCAATAAATGTGCCTGTGTAATGATTCTTGTGTGGTATATGTGCATAAAAATGGTGAGTGGCTCAGTTTAAAAAGCTGTCAGATCAGGAAGTGTGCTTTATGCTGGATGTGTGAGTTGGAGTACCCACCCAAACTGTAACCTGATCTTGCAGCTGCATGTGGTGCATCAAGGCTGAGTATCATGTTGTTATTGTACTGCTGTATACTGCTGCTGGCTTTGAAGTGCTGGAGATGATGCTTCAGTCAGTGTCTCAAAGAGGAGCCTGTTTGGTTTGCTCACTCCATACATCTGTGATGGGTGTATTAAAAAATCTTAAATGACTGTTCTGATTTATTTTTTATTTCATCTCATAATATTGCTCTTTAATATTTTGATTTTAATTTAGAATTATGTCCTCCACTCCTCTGTTATATGATCATATGCTGTTAAGAATAACTTTGTCATGTACTGTATGTCCTGAACCCCTGATACTGGAATATGATCAAATTGAAATAAAGTTCTGCAAAATGTGTTCATAAGATAGTGGATTTCTTTGGATTATATATTTATATCATTCTGATTATGATGTAACAGGAAGTTATTTCTTGAATGAATATTCCTTCCAAATTTTCTTTGCATGACTAACAAATATTAATTTCACCCAGCACCATTGTTTGCAGGAGTTGAAGCCCCAAACACATGAATATAAGCCTGATGGTGACTTGATGAACCAGTGTTTGGCAATACATAATTTTAGATTAGTTGAAAATGGTCATTTCTGAAGGTAAAATGGGAATTAACAGTGATGTGCTGAAAATTATCTTCCAAATGTTTTCAATGAGTGAGTAAAAATGCCATTCTCTTGGGCTTGACAGAAGATGAGAATATATGCTGTATGCTTGACAAAATTGTGCAAAACTCCTCTTTAGTGATATGGACAGATGAATAAGAAGTATCTTCCATCAGAACCTTGCCACTGCTGTTTCCTAGTTATTTTATATTTTACCAAAGAGAGACACAATACATGTGAGATTTGAGAAAATAAGGCACATACTGATGTAGCCTTTGATTCATATGCACAGTTTTCTCTGCTGTTCCCTTAATAATCTCTTATTCTCAACTATCTCAAGACATCCACACAGTGTTGAAGAGGCAGTTTTAGGAAGTCTAATGCCAAAATGTTTCTCTATATTTCTGCATTGACTCAAATTATTCAGGCTTTATTGTTTTGGATTTCTTGTACTGTACTTACCTTACTCCACTTTTTTCATATCCATTATTTTAGAAGCAACAAATGTAGAGCCAAAGAATAAGTGTTGCCAAATTGCTACTGTTCCCTGCATGATGATGATGGTGAATTATAATTTTAATGTTGAATGCTGATGCATCTTTTCTGTTTTTCCTATATTGTGATCCTCTTTTCTGTGATGGTGTATAATAAGTGTTGCCAAATTGCTACTGTTCCCTGCATGATGATGATGGTGAATTATAATTTTAATGTTGAATGCTGATGCATCTTTTCTGTTTTTCCTATATTGTGATCCTCTTTTCTGTGATGGTGTATATGTACAAAGTGATAGAAAAAATATGCGGTTGAAATATGTCAGTGGTGAAGTGTACCAAAGTGCTACTCTTGCTGGTGGTGATTCAGACCTTTTGCTTGGACAATACCAATAACTGGACACTTGCAGCAGTTCAGCCTTCACCACCCACTGGTTCAGTTGTGGTGACTGAACTGGATTTCCAGGACCTGAAATCAGAGCTCCACGAAATCAAAGGTACCACTAACATGGTCATTTAAAAAAAGAAGCAAGAAAGTCCTTTGTACAGTGCAGAATCGCATTTTCTTTCAAGCAAGTGGATTTTTTTAGTGGTATTCACAGACACATCCAGACAAACAAAGAATAACACATCAATAATCATAGTAAAATGCTGCAAGTATCTGAAACATCACTTTTTTTTTTTTGAAATCAGGAAACCTTTGGGAAAAGGGGAAAAATGCATTTGCTGGTGATGGTGTTGAAAAGGCATCATTGATTGCAATGCCTTTTTTCTTGAATGACATGTGTTTTGTTTTGACACATTTTTTGTTCTTCCACAAGTATTTTTTTTCTTTTTCCTTAATTTATGATTTTTGTTAGTACTTTTTTGTTGGACAAAACACGTGCGTTTTTTTTTTTTTTTTGGAGTTGGCTTACATATGTATTAGGGGGAGGTTCGTAAGTCGAAACAGAGGTTCGTAGGTTGAAACAAGTCCTTAGTTACAAAGGCAGTGGGCTGAAATGCTTTGGAGGCGTCCCGAATCAGCGGCCGCTGCCGCTGCTGCTGCTGCTGAAGCCGCCACCGCGCCCAGCACCGCCGCCACGACCGCCTTGGCCGCCACTGCTGGGTCCTCGGCTGCCGTAGCCGCCTTGACTGCCTCCTCCGAAACCGCCTTGGCTACCGCCGCCGTGGCCGCCTCTTTGTCCGCCGAATCCGCCGCCCTGCTGCTGGCCACCGCCGAAGCCGCCCTTTTGTCCTCCGCCGAAGCCGCCGCTTTGACCGCCGCCGTAACCGCCGCTCTGCTGGCCTCCGAATCCTCCCTTTTGGCTTCCGCCGC